CAGAAGGACCATCAAACTCGCCTAGTGCCAAAGCCACATCTTCCGAATGTACCAAAGTAGGTGAGGTCAGAGTTCAGAATCTGAATTCTGTTGTTGCCCCAGTCAGCTATGTATACTTTATGGGTGTGAGGATGAACTGCAACATCTCGTGGGAATTTAAATTGAAGAGATCTACTGCCATATCTACCACAAGTTCTTATAAAGTCGCCCATGAATGAGAATTGCTGAATACGATGGTTGTTGAGATCAGCTACAATGATGTTTCCACTACGATCAATTGCTACTCCTTCTGGCATGTCAAATTCACCGGGAGTTATGCCACAAGTACCAAATGATTCCTTTTCTTGACTGTGATTGACGATAGAGACACAGTGACAACCACTTTCGACTACCACCACCTCTCCTCCCTCCCCAATCGCTATACCTATTGGTTCGTTGAGGTGTTCAATAATATTGGCTGCAGAACTGAAACGTGGTAGAACTGTAACAGCAAATGGACTATTGAATATCGGGCTGTCATTAATGTTGATGTGCAGTTTGTACTCTCCACTTGACTGGGGCTCATAAGTCATTTCATAGACGTTCTGTGCTACTCTGTTACCAGTGCCTCTGATGTGAATGCTGCCGTCACTAGAAACTAGCTCATACTTTAAGCTGTCTAAAGCTGTGAGGTAAGGTTCTCCCTCTCCATTAAAAGTCTCCACAGAAACATAAGCTTTTACTCCACTCGTCGCTACCTTTATGCCTTCACCTGAGGCCTTGCACTTGTCATGGTACAAAGAATGGCAGTAAACTTTTCCAAAAGCCCGACACATCTTAACAAGGTCGGGTAAAGTGTGATAAAACTTCATGTCGGCTTTCTTGGCAGGTACTAATGTCTCACGCTTGAAGCCGACTGCAATATCTTCAATTTGTTGCAATAGGCGACTCTTCATCACCAAAAGTTTCCCCTTACTGTGAGTATGTCGACTATCCTTAACAAAGTCAGAGCAGCTCTTCAGCTGGCCCAGTCTCAGTTGCAACTCCTCTCGCTGTGCATTTAAGGCTCTCAGTTTAATCTCAGTTTTATTTTCAGCCTCTTCAATCAGCTCGTTTTCCTTAGCATCTATAACCTCCCTTAGGTGTGTCATGGCAGTCCTGATAATTGCAACAATAGACAACATCTGCTCTACAATCTTAGCACAACGAGTATCCAGAGACTTGATTGCTTTTGTAAACTCATCAACCTGTTTTTTGATAGGTTTAAGAGCAGCATCAATAACTTTGTCGTGTTTAGAAAATGAGTTGGAGAGAAGATCATACTGGTGGTCACGATGAGCATGAACCAGGCAATAGCTGCATATCAACTGGTCACACTCCTCGCAGTAAAAATCTGCTTCTTTTTCTGGGTGGTCCGGGCAAAAGTCACCCACACTCTTATTCTTTAGGATCTCTTCAATTTCAAGCAATGTGTCGAGGTAAAAAGCAGCTTGAAGTCCTGAAACTCCATCCGTTGGTAGTATTGTTTCCCTGCGACAGTTTGGACATGTAATATATGATCTCCGTCTTCTCAAAGTTTCGAGGCACTTTTCACAAAACACATGGAAGCAATTGAGAATCTTTGGCCTTTTGTAGGGTTGAAAGCATATTCCACATAAGGTTTTATCTTCAATCAGCCGAATAACTGTCTCTGCTGCAGTAGGAGGTTTTGTGTCCAAAAGATCTTCAGCAGTCAGGCGTTTAGTTGCCATTGCTTTGAGTGGACTAGAAAAACTACTACAAACTGCAGTCCAGTGTATATATGCTAGGGCTCACTCTACGTATGACAATATACCCGTAGAATAGACTAATGAATATTGACAGAAGTGGCGTGATTTGATATCAGCAATATTCACATCAAGTGCAAAGTGTTGACCTTTAGTATAATTATATTATGCATACGGCCACGTTATTGACATTCATTTACCTGGTATTTGCGGTAGACACCTTTAGACCTGTGCTGCAGATTCATGGGGTGTTATATACCTTCAAATGGCAGCACCAGCATGCATGGTCAATGTGATGGCAAGGTCAAGGTGAGGTAGCTAAAAAACCCTAAACAACAAGTTCAGAACTTCGTCTGATGAATTGCAGTGTTGGCCAAAAAATCTATATAGCAGAACAAGATTGTTGTATATACCATTTACACATGCAGGTTTTACAGTTCTAGCTCTATGCCTACCCAATACTTTAAAAGAATTGAGTGGTGGAGACCTCTCCAGTAATGATCTGGAGTGTAGCTAGTCTGAGACAATAGTTTCATCTTGAGGACCTCACGGTATACACACCGGTACTGACCCAGCTTCAATTTCTGCAAAAGGTCTGCCACCAGGAGAGAGAAACTGATCTTTGCGTCTTCTAGGACTCTTGAGAAGTATCCAGTAGTCACAGTAAATGATTGAGGAAGGGACATATATACATATTAGGGATGGTACTTTTGTCTCCCTTGGAACCTGCCCACGAATGAAATGCCAATGTGATAAGCTGCCTCTCAGTGGCTCATACTCCTTGGGAGTGGCCTTATTGACCCGAGAATGGAGCAGAGAGTGAGTGAAAGGTGTTTGGAATAGGGGATCTAAGGACGACTTGGAATTGCTGTTGGTGGTCTCAATTTGGGAGAAACCGACAGAGGGATTGAGATTTGTTCCGAAGAGCTCAGTGGCTTCTCACTCATTAAGGAGACCAGTTTCTCTTATGCCGACATCAGGAATGTTATACATTCTCTCCAGTCGCTGCAGTTCCATTCCTTCTTTCTTGAACCCTTGTCGTATGTTCCGAGTTTGTATTAGCCAGCTTTGACTGTGGTCGAACCTGTTGTATAGCTCTCTGGTGTGATGGTATGAGTCAGATGAGTCAGATGGGCCTCTCTGGATCCCTCTGGTGCTTGGACCACCACCTCGATGGGCAGGTCAACAGCAATCTCCACTGGCATCTGGTCTTCCTCACCTGTCAGTGGAGGCTATGAGAGACATCTCAGAGTAATAGTGGCTGAGGGTGGCTAATTCATTGGTGTAGAACTAAGCTCCTTGCAACCATTTTCGCAGTTGTTAACCCTCGGCGCGCATGCGCAGCGAGGGTTACGGTAGTTGGTTTGTCTTTCTGTGTGTGTGTGTGTGTGTGTGTCGACGCCTACATGCCACAGGTGGCTTCAATGAGTGATACCACAGCTTTCGAGACTACTACGCGAACGGAAAAAGTATTAGCGATTTTTCCTGCAACGACTGCGTTCGGCGCGACCGAGTTCCGTGGCCCACCACTCATTAAGGCGGTGCGGAATGCGTATAGACACGTCTGCTGGCTCCACTCTACACCTGATCCGCTTGTCTCTGTGTCCAGGGCCGGCGTCGCCGGTACGACCGGTCCGGTTTTGGCCGGACCACTTTTATGTGATTGGCTGCGCATGCGCATGCGCATGTGATGATGAAGAGGGTGTGGCGTGTGGCGTCTCGCGGTCTCTCGATCGTCGGATCGGCGCGGCAGGGACAGTGTTAACGTATATAGCCAGCGGTGACACCTCGCGGCCTATTCAAGTTGTTATCTACTTGACGTAGGTCCGGCAAGAGGCCATATTATTTGCCAGATTGCACCAGAAACACTCTTAGAATGTCCTAAAAGATTTTCATGGGGGAGCATGCCCCCAGACCCCACTAGTGGGCGCGCTTCGCGCGCACGCTACGGTTGGCCTGACCACTACAAATTTGCTCGCTCTGGCCCTGGTGTATATACCTTGGAGGCACAAGAAGCCACAGCGAAGGGCGTGTATCGACTGCTGCATGCTATCTACTACCGTAGCTAGCCCGTGTCACATTCTCCGCGAGCTACTAGCGGGAGACCGCGGTTAAACGCCAGTAGCTAGCCCAGCCCATCCATTAGCGATACTGCTCATGCGCAGTTCGCCGAGGGTTTGCACTGATTAACCCTCGGCGCGCATGCGCACCACGTTTTCTGGCACCACTCGCAACAAACAGCCCAAAAAGCGACACCAGCGGGTTCAGCGCTACACTGGCTTATTAAATGCTATCTACTACTGTAGCTAGCCCGTGTCAGACTCTCCGCGAGCTACTAGCGGGAGACCACCACGAAATAGCCCAGCCCATCAATTAGCGGTATCGCGCAAGCGCAGTTCGCCGAGGGTTTGCACTTCAGTGCTTTTCATTTAATTTTGCTTGTATATAATTGGAAGTTTGGTTAGGTAACGTTGGGGAGGGCAGGTAATGTAAAATGTTCCCTTAATTGTCAGGTTGAAGGAGCTTATCTTGATTGCCCGTGATGCTGTATACTTTCAGAGCTCACATTTCAAAGGCACACACACCTGGATTGTAAAGAGCTCTGATTGCTCAATTATTGATTTTGTGTCCCTGATGTGAGGTGTGGTCGCTCGAACAACTCTCAGGAGTGTCTTGAGGGACATGTGGCCAGAGACCCTTGTATATGGCTGCTTTTGGCTGGCTCTTTAGGGGCATTACTTGGGGCTAAACACGGGGCAACATGAACATCTAGTTAATGTTAAATCTGGTACCCGCTGCAATATTTGAGTACAGCACTTTGGTCTGTTTAACGAAATATGAACATTGTACACATCAGCAGTGGGAATGGAGTGGGAGTGTTTACTTTATCTGGAGTGGGAGCGACGTGGAGTATTGCACAATATATCCCTCACTCTCAGGATATCGGACTCTCCTTTTTCCTCGGTGAGAAATACTGTTTACGTTGTTTTCTCTGTATGCGAGGGAGGGTTTGAGTGGTAGAAAGAGGAAGGTTCGAAACTAAGGAGAAGGCTCCATGTCTGAGAATACCCAGAGGCAAAAGGAGGAGGATTTTGGAGGCCAGCTTTCGAGGCAGGGAGTATGTGACTACGGTCAACACCACTAGCTAACCAGATAACAGCTGTGATAACTGAAGCTTACTATGGGGATATCCCTGGAAAGTCCTCTCATGAGACACACGGACCTGTTGGCCCTGTGTGTAGGCACCTCTACTCCGCTCGTTTGCTGCTGCTTTGTACAACTAAAACTCCTTGTAAGTTAAAGTCTCTCAGTTGTCGCATACAGACTAAGCAGTTATGATCATCTCAGAGGCATGGTGCCGCGCGCGCACTTCGCTGACCGGTTGTCCAGCGGCGTTGTCCAGCGGGCGGGAGGTATGCCGTGCACGTGCTAATTACTAATTATGCTGACTACTACTCTCTAGGACACATGTCAGAAATGTGGGTAGTTAGGTGCGGTGTTAATGCTGTTAATAAGCAATCCATGGAGAAGGTTTGAAAGACTCAGCGTATCATCCTGTATCCACTTTTGCCATGGGCAGAGCAATAAAAATGCTCAGTACACCATCAGATATGTACATGAAGCATGTGGTCACTGTCACTCGATTTGTTCTGCCGCGCATGAAGGGCTCGGAATATATCCCTGTTTGCTTGAAAGCCATTGGGGAAGTTGAGGGGAAATATTGTGCCAAGGAAGCAGAAGATGACTAAATTATCAGTCTGCCAGTGATTTAGTGGGAATCAGAAAAGTCCGATGTTCTATTGGGCTCCTGAGCAGGTGGTGCGGCGTCTTCAACCCGCATGCAAGGAGGATATCTGGCTACATACATTTTGGTGGGCGATCGTAAATACAACTATCGTAATGATGAGGTGGTCTCTGCCCAGTCTTTGCATTGAGCTACACCAGTGGCTGGAAAAGTGAGCGCAGATGACATCAAGTGAACTGGAGATACGTTAACAATCTGCAAAAAATCGTTTTGATGCAGGCCAACCTGAGTTCACTGCGGTGCAAAGTGCATCTCGTATATCACCAGGTAGTGAAGAGAGAGAACCATTTTACTACTCTTCAGGTCAATAACCCTCACGCTGTCAGCTCCATAATGATTTTGTTTAATTTCAACCGCTGATGAGGAATCTACAGCTGCATCAATGCATGAATCACATCATGAAGGTGCTAGCATATATTTCCCCACATTCATGAATTAGTTCTCCATAGATAAGCCAAGTGAGGTTATTGGACGAAACATCCAAAAACCGAGAAGAAAGCAGAGGCCGTATCCTGATCCCAGTGGTAGCTCCGTTCCTTACGGTTCCCTTGCTGCATGTGCCTCAGAAAGATAATACTAGACACTACTCGATGGTGACGATATAGATGATCAGGTGCGTGCACAGTTGTTTTGACTTGAAGATTGATCATCTTCAATAATAATATAGCTCCTAAGGAGATGGAGACATCTACAGATAGTGTTCACATACAGGATGAGAGAGGTGCAGATAATACCTGCTCTGCTCTTCTCTTGTGTATTAATGAAACGCACTTAAGTGCAACGCCCTCGCACTGCGACTGCTAATGAGGGCAGGCTATAGTAGCCTTTACACGTACTCGTAGGTCTCCGTCCCGCAAAAGCACGCGGAGGTCCCGGACACAGGTAGCTACACATAACAGGCGTGCGTCAATACACGCCAGTTCGTTACGACTTCTGGTGCGTTCAAGATAACAGAGCATATTGGCTGTTCACTTTGGTTTTCTCACGTCAAACTTTAGAACGCGCAGTATTTCAAAAAAATGAAAATCACTTTTTATTTCAAATCAACCCAGTGTAGCACTGAACCCGATTCATAGCGCTCTGTTGCCCTGCATTCGTGCGTCGTGGCAGAAAACTTGGTAACAGACAGACACAATGACAGACACACTCACGAACAACTACTGTGACCCTAGCTGCCATGCGCGCCGAGGGTTGACTATATAACATTCTAAGATGGCAAGCGAAGTAGTGAACTACCGACAAGTTGCAGTGCCCCCCCCGCCAGTGCAGCAGGAGGAGCTGCAGGAGCAAAGTTTGCCCTGCCCAGGACTTCGAAGGTGACCTTAAATCTTCATTGCATGCATTGACAGAGTTTACTATATACGGCAAACTGACAGAGAGTTTATATTTTGTGCCTAAGACCTCAGTGGAGCTGTTCCGGAGATTCCAACAGCTACTACCAATCAATACCGTGAACCTGAACCCAAGGTTAGGCATTCTCATCCTATTGTGCTATGACATGCAGAGACTGTGAAGTGTCTCTTGTTCATGTGAGCAATGATAGCATGGAAATAGTCTTGTGCAGTCTAAAAGCAGGGAATGGAGAATAGAAATGTAGATACTGCGTTAATTGTAATGGAGAAGAAAAGGCGAGGAAGACGAAGATCGAAGAATTGCTCTGACTTAGAATGGAAAGCATCACTTGGTCTTAGCGTTCCACGTCACCAGGACCTTTTAGAGCACCACACAACTCCATGTGTGCTTAAAGTAAAAGCTAAACCCTGCTGAAATAGTGTAATGTGTTGCCTATGAACACCAAAATTATGGGCAACCATTTCATTTTACACACAGGCAACCACGATGTGTTGCCGCAACCTGCAGGTTCAATTCACCTTCCCCTTGCTACATCTACGTCAAGCCACACACACCCAACTGTTTGTAGGTTGACGGATAAATATGTTTTTTTAAGATACAATCTTGTATCTCAGGGTCGAGAATTAGCAACAGGAATATGAAAGTTGTAACTATGTATTTGCTACTCTGCTACTGAGTGCTTTGGTATAGCATTGTGCGCCAACTATGTCCATCCCCTCCTGGGAAATTTCTTTTTTCGCTTCACAATCTACGCATCTCATGAGGTCCTGCATCGCGAGGGAAGTACCAATTCTGTTAGCAGTTGAGCTCATTGTTAGTCAGAAATCCGTGTTGACAGGAAGTTGATTAAAAAGGATTCATTTCATTGCACACAGCATCATGTGTACCTACTAATGACGGTTGCATGAAAACTACGACTACGTACAACATACACACATACAATGCAGGCGGCTCCGCGCTCCTGACATTCTATCTACATGCTGGAACATTCTCATAGTTCGCTACACACCTGTGCCACTACCCACAGCAGATGCAAATATCCCGTCTTTTCTCTATCACACAAAACAGTCGAGAAAAGCATTAACTTTGATGGCAACCAAAAAAAGGAAGACATGCAATATCTGTTGGAATTGACGACTCTTTTAAATATACCACCATATACCTCTCTCATAACCTCGAGCGATTACTACTCAATCCGTTTTAGTGAGATTCCATCTAATGTCACCCTCATCTATAATCTTACTGTGACAATTATAAAAGTGGACCTTGATGCGGTGAACCAACACGAGTGGGGACATTACCCTGACAGTGATGATAGAACCCTAGAGAGGTCAATCGACTTTGGCACTGGAGAATACTGTTTGTTGGCCGACATCAAGACAGTGCTACACACACACTCACACTACACCACTCTAGAGACGCACACAGAGCCCCGCCCTGTCGGTGCCGCAGTTGGAGTCCACAGTTGGTTTGTTGCTGGTGTTCATTCTTGTGGTGCTACTACTACGCCTGGAGTGCTTGTAGTGTTTATGGTAAAGAGTTACTTGTTTCTGTTATAACCAAGTATAAGGTTATACCTCATTTTAATAACAAATTTGTTTTCACATTACTAAATTAGGATGATTCTTGTAATGAAATGATATTTTTTAAATGCCAGTTCTCCTGCCACTCACTTTACTTCATCTCCATGCATAATATAGAAACAAGGCAAGTGTCAAAAGGGTGACTATGGTTGTGTAGGCACTCTGTGCCATTTACAAACAAGTGCACCGACTATTACCCACCACTGTATATACGTATATACTAGCTTTGACTTAATTTAGAGTGTGCCCTAATGGAATCCGCCGCAATGCCCCCACCAACTAATCCCAAGGAGGCCAGCAGTGATTAGAATCCATGCACCGCCACAATGGTATATCTCGATCTTGCTATCTGTGGTCTATATTAATGTTATGTAGCTACTATTATACTGCGAGGGACATACCGGATTTCAATGAACCCGAGGGCCTCCCGCGTTTGTAGTGTCCCGAGCGCAGCGAGGGAACTACGCGGAGGGATGAGGTTCATTGAAACCCGGTATGTCCCGAGTATACGGAGTACATAACATGTTTAGTGCAGAGCAAATCAGCTCCGTATACGCGCACAGCCGCGTTTCCAGGCAGGAAAGATGCGAGAAAGAGACGAGAGCGCAAGACCGTCATCCCGTGCGGGACTATTGAACGCCGAACGCTAGGATACGCTGCTCCCCCGCTCTAGCTACTCCCGCTGCGGGACTGTCCTCCGCCACTCATCCGAAGAAACGCGACAGAGACCTGCGCGAACCATCACAATCAGAGAGAGGCGAGAGTGGAGAATTCAGGCGCTGTGTGGGCTGCTATATATACCGAAGGCGTTCGCCGACTTAGTAGCTTTGTCGCGCGCACTCGCTCGCGGAGCCCCACCCCCTTATTTGCGTGCGGTGGTTTGTGGGGCGGGCGTTGGCTATCTACTATATATGTACATGGCAAGGAGGGAGATGGGCTCAAAGCAGACACAGAAAACTGTCTTGTGGAAAAAGAAAATCAAGATATCAGTTATTTTGATCAACATTTTGTACAGATCATGTTTTGCGGGATACATTTCTTACATGAAATGCTGTTGAACTTGTTGAAAATCAACAGAAAAAACAAGGTTTCACATCATGTTTTCATGTTACTTTTGTTAGCTCACGAGGTTCATATGAGAAATCAGGAACCTCGTACTAACAATCTGATTGGTCGATTCGAATCAGCTATGGCACTAATAGGGATAATGCATGCATGTGATAAGCAGATAAAGGTATATACACTCGTAATATTATGTGCTAGGTATTAGTATTAACCACAGCTTCAATATGTCACCCGCATTTCCTTGATACTGTACCATCCTTCACAGAGAGGAGGTAATACACAATACTCAATGTCACAAAATAATTGCTTGTTGCCACGAAAAAAAGAACATACGAAAGTAATGCATCCAGCTGTATATACACACAGGAAGTGAGCGCCGTGATAACTGCATATATATGCAGTTTGCCTGCTAATGCACAACAGTATGCGGAGTATAATTACAATAATTTTGAAATGTATATAAACACACAATGGACGTGCCTGTTGATCGTTAGCCATAGGTGTATCATAATAGGGCATTGTGTATAAAACAAAAATTCAGAAATCCTGGCAACAAAAAGCTAATGGGGCAACTAATTTTTGCAATAGAGCTATGGAGTCAAAACTTTGCACAGTATGTACGTATGTAACATTGACTGTGGGTTCTTCAGGAGTTGACAGTGTGTCCTTGGCTCATGAACAGGGTAGCGATCAGGAGCATCAATCTCCCCATAGTGGGTGAAGAGGAGGTTCCCCTCAACACGCAGCCGTCCACGAGTTTCATCATCTCTCCACAAAACAAACTGTACGAATGTAACAATGTTTTAATTACATGTGATCCAACTTTTAGTTCTGATACTGTATGACAATGAAAAAGCACTAAAGGACAAAACCGCTCGGCGAACTGCGCATATGCGTGTTACCGAGGCGGCTATTCGATGTGTGGCTCCACTCTAGTAGCTTGCAGCATTGGAGCCAGAGGCAGAGTGTGGGAGTATTCTAGGGTAGGAGGGAGGCGCGCTCCTAGGCTGATAGTTTATTTTATATGTTGGTAGTCATGAGAAGGTTGTTGTATAGCAAGATTGGGTTTGTGCACTTGGTGGAACTCCAGCTCAACAAAGTCCCAGTCTAAGAAATCATCTCTGGGAAATGCGGGGATATGCTAGGGGCACTGAGAGATGAGGGTAAACAGCTATGTCATTTTGTGTTTGGTAGCTCTATTGCTTATTGCGTGTGCTGCCTGTTTATAATTAAGTCTACTGCATGTTTTTCACCGATTATAGCTGATACTATTTAAATCACGTGTCAATCTGATGGTCGATGCGCGGACGCTCGAAACACGTAGAGCAAACTTGCCGGAGCAAACTTGTCCGGACGCCGGTCGAGGCTAGCTACAGCACTAGATAGCATGCGGAGTAGATACACAGCACCCTTCGTTGTGACTTCTTGTGCTGTAACCCTTGGGCGCCATAGGTGTCTCCTTAAATAAGCAGAAATTGATGTATAAGATATTAGCGCCTAGTATTATAGCCATATATAAATTCTTATGCACTTATGGAGGCTCTGTGCATATATAATTATATGTAAATGGTGCCCAAAGGGTTAAAAATAATATAGCAAGCGGTGGGCCTGTTCTAATTAGCAATTGGCTTTTTTGCTCGTGTTCACACCATAACTCACGCACACAGCAGTTTCAGCAGAGAAACCCCACATATTTTTCGACCTTTATCCGACGCTGAGTATCATGGTTTGTGGAGCGATTGATAGCTCCTGAAGTGAGATGTAAGGTAATAGACAGACAGACACACACGACAACTACTGTAGCCCTCGCTGTGCATGTGCGCCGAGGGTTAATAACCAAGGTCTTTGATACTGCAGTATCTCAAGAGTTTAGGTATTTTGGCAAAAAGCAGCACGATATAGGATAGGCAAGTATGATTAGGGATATAAACCACCAGGAACTGCTGGGGCAGTTCGTAACACAATGTATTATGTAAATAGCATCTGATTCAGGTGATTGCTTATAAGTATTGTATGTAGAATTGAGTTAGTAGATAAAAGGTTCTCACTATGGGAGGCAGGCGAGGGCCAGTTTGACAGGGATGTACCAGAGGATGCCAAAGACCAGGAAGATCATGACAGAGGCCCACAGGACTATGAATATTCCTCCCAGGAGCTGGAATCCAAACCTTACTCCATGGCTCTCAATCTGCACACAATAGTAATAGCAACACACTTCTGGCGAGCGATTGCGGGAGTCACATCTGTTTCGTCTATATGGTATGTCTGGCAGTATCCTTCTTGTAGGTTACATACTGAAAAAATGAAACGCACTAAAGTGCAAACCCTCTGCGAACTGCGCATGTGCAGTACCGCTAATTGATGGGCTGGGCTATTAGTATGCGTTTAGTCTCCCGCTAGTGGCTCGCAGAGAGTCTGACACAGGCTAGCTACAGCAGTAGATACCATATGGGAGTCGATACACAACCTTCGTTGTGACTTCTTGTGCCTTCAAGACACAGAACAAGCGGACCCGGTCGAGGTAAGCCTGTTCAAATTAGTATATTAGCTTTTCCGCTCGTCTTTCACGCCGTAACTCTCGAACGCAGCAGTTTCAGAAACCCTACATACTTTTCGACCAATTCCCGATACTGCAGCTAATTCATGCCATAGTTATGTATGTCACACTTGGAAGCCTTGATGGTAGGAGGAAGCATTGGGAGCCAAGGGGAGCAGAGGGGGGAGTATTCTAGGGTAGGAGGGAGGAGCGTTATAGGCTGTTAGTGCATAGCTGATTTGAATCGACCAATCAGATTTGTTAGTACGAGGTTCCTGATTTCTCATATGAACCTCGTGAGCTAACAAAAGTAACATGAAAACATGATATGAAACCTTGTTTTTTCTGTTGATTTTCAACAAGTTCAACAGCATTTCATGTAAGAAATGTATCCCGCAAAACATGATCTGTACAAAATGTTGATCAAAATAACTGATATCTTGCTTTGAGCCCATCTCCCTCCTTGCCATGTATATACATATTAGATAGCCAGGCAGCTCACGCCCGCCACAAACCACCGCACGCAAATAAGGGGGTGGGGCTCCGCGAGCGAGTGCGCGCGACAAGTCGACGGCGAACGCCTTCGGTATAGCAGCCTGCACAGCGCCTGAATTCGCCTCTCTCTGATTGCGATAATTCGCGCAGGTCTCCTGTCGCGTTTCTTCGGATGAGTGGCGGAGGACAGTCCCGCAGCGGGAGTAGCTAGAGCGGCGGAGCAGCGTATCCTAGCGTTCGGCGTTCAATAGTCCCGCACGAGATGACGGTCTTGCGCTCTCGTCTCTTTCTCGCATCTTTCAAATTCCCTGTGCTTGGAAACGCAGTGCGCGTATACGGAGCTGATTTGCTCTGCACTAAACATGTTATGTACTCCGTATACTCGGGACATACCGGATTTCAATGAACCCTCGAGCCTTCCGCGTAGTCCCCTCGCTGCGCTCGTGACACTACAAACGCGGAGGCCCTCGGGTTCATTGAAATCCGGTATGTCCCTCGCACGTAGTACATAACATATATATAGTTTATTTTATGTTGGTAAGTATGAGAATGTTGTTGTTAGAATGTTTGGGAGTTGGTGGAAACTCCAGCATCAAAAAAGTCCCAGTCTCAGAAATCATCTCGGGAAATGAGGGGATATGCTAGGGGCACTGAGAGGATGAGGTAGACAGCTATGTCATTTTCGTGTTGGTAGCTCTATTGCCTTATTGCTGTGGCTGCCTGTTTAATAATTATTCCCGGCATGTTTTTCACCGATTATAGCTGAGTAATTTAAATCGTGCAATCTGATTGGTCGATGCGCTGACCTCTAAACACGTAGAGCAAACTTGCCGGACTCTAAGTTTTGCGCATACGCAATGGCTCACTTACGCTGGGCGGAGTCCCCCAGCGGTCTGCGAAGGTACTGGTAGAGGCGAGCCCATTGTAGACGTCCTCCCTGGGCCCCTCGCTCAACTTCCCAGCGAGAAAGCAGTGCTCGTTCACCGTTTCAGATGCACCGAATTTGAATTGTGCGCACGCGTTGCCATAGCTCTAAACCAGTTAGATGCATCGTCCATGGAAACTATGCGCATTAGAGCGCCTTAGGGGGCCCTTAGTAGCGTTCTTGCTGCGCTCGAACGAACGCCGACAGCTCAGGGCCCCCGCGGCTCTCTAATGCGCGTAGTTTCCTGGACATTACAGACACTATAGCTAATAATGGAGCTATGACACGTACATTGCTTGGTAGATCATTGGAGACACAGTAGCAGAGGCTCTCATAGACCTCCAAGATCAGACAGGTGCGGCCAAATATTCCAACACAGAGTAGTCCCCAAAAACCACTGTGGAAAAGGATGTTAAATTGGATATTGATAATTCATGAGAAAAAACTTGTGGATTGCATGACTACACTGGTTAGTCTGGCTACAAGTTCACTCTCTCTCAACAAGCCACAGGCTGTACACAGGCTAACTGACTGAGAGACACGTGCGACACACACTCAACAAATACATTTTGCACTTACAGCGAGAGTTAACAACTCCATGGCACTATTGTATGTTGTGAATGTGTATGTCCATACCTGACAGCATGCACAGGGAAGACTCTCGCTCCATCATGAAGTTTCAACAAGTACTCAATGTAGCACCCACCATGGTAAAACAGAACAGTTAGAGCTGTGTGAACAGACACAATTTGTAGTGGACTGAAATGAGCTTTAGTGATTTACTCAGATAAAGTGAAACCTTGCTGATATAAACTCCACAGGAGTTTCCAAAAGTGCTTATGAATTTTATAACTGTAGCCATTAGTTTATTTAGGATCTATGAGGACATTATGGTTAGGGTTGCAACATTTACAGAAGTTGGCACAATTTGGACGACTAGCTTCGCTCCCGAATACTCACGTCCAATAAGGATTGCAAACGGTGGATCGACAAAGGGGCAGCAGCCAGTCACAGCCACCAGGTTGGCGAGGACAGCGTTGGCCATCTCGTTGGTGTTGAAGTGTTCGTGTCTGTTGTAGATCTGGACCAGTCCCGACACTATGCACTGGGTGATACCACCACTTGCTGCAGCCAGGCACATGGTGAGGGCAATCCGACCCACCGCCGCATGGCTTGTCTTCCCTGCATGCAGACGTTCAACAGCCATAGAAACAACAGAAGAAGTGTACATATATTATAAACGTTTTTTCCAGAAATGAAAGCACACTTCACAAATGGTGGGTAAACACGCACAAGCAATTACATACAAGTTAACGTATAGGCGGCGAGGTGGTATATACAGGAGATACTCCGAGGCCGTTGACTATACCGGACGAGGGCGTAGCCCGAGGCGCGGTATAGTTAACAGCCGAGGAGGATTTCCTGTATATACTCGCCAAGACGCCTGACGTTAACTGATTTGTAGTCCAACTAGCCAATCACAATGCTGAATTTCTGCTGCGGCATCTTGCACTAATTACTAATGGACTGTTGTGTAAACTTTGGAAGCCAGACAATTTGCACTACGCCTAGCGCTAGATGTTGTGATAAGGACTTCCTGTCCAATACTGATACCGGTGCATCCCGCAGCTCAGAATACAGCGTATATTCCTAGCACCGGGTTGTTTGAAGTTGGACTACAAGCTGCTATGGACAGCCCACAGTGCACACACATATACATACACAGAATTGTACAAACAGCAGCAGCTAAACAGTAACAGTAATCCATATGGTCTTACCGGCGATGGTTTCAGTCGATCCACAATTGAAAGCAAACCTGTGGAGGGTTTACAAACACATAACACACACAAAGCCCACGGGCAAGGACTAAAACACTAGAATGACAAGAGGGAGGCTGTATACGTACCATGTGGTCCACAGTATGATTATCCCGAGGGCAGCACTCTCCACGTTCTCCTCCCCACCTCCACTGGGATACATCCACTGGATGAAGCTGCATGGAGTACAGTGGAGGAGTCACTATCACCCCAACTCCATAATTATGGCCATACTGAGTGAGAGTTTACTGTGCCATAACACAGTGTTTTGAGGTTTGCCTTTGTGCTGTGTTGTGTTATAGATTTGAACCCCCTGGCAGCTCAGCTGGTAGCGAGTTGGCTCGCCTATATGCCATGGGTTCAAATCCCACCTAGGGCAGCAAAGAGTTGCCTGGGTGTTGTTGACTTGTTTGCTCTGCCTTTACTTTCTACCTCGCCTACAGTTGTCACATGCACAGTATACTGGTATATATGTACACATACACAACACTACCATGGGAGTGTTTGTAAAAGGACATAAGCATGGAGTGTTTTGGGCCAAAATTCACAGCCTATGGCACTCTTGTTTATATTACTGTGTGCATGCATGGGTTAACCACCATGAACAGTAGTAAACTCAGAGATCAGTAGTTCAACAGATAAGTACACACACAAGTGCAAAGGTTTAGAAACTGCGTCAGATATTCACGACGAGCTATTGAAGATGTACATAGCGCTTACCTTTGAGGTTTCTTAGTCTCTTCTCCTGGTTCTGCCCCAGACTGCACCATCTAACCCGATTTAAAAAAAACAACGATTAATACATGAGCACGATTATGTACATGATTAAGTAAGATGGAATGTTTCGTGGCTGATATTCTTGTATATACATACCTCATCTCTGATTTGGGGCTTTGCTCTGTGAATTTCCACCATTGCAAACTAATGGGGGGAAAGAGTTGTTAATCAATACAGCACACCAACTGGCAAGCAAATTAATACACAGAACAGCCAATATTCACACTGAGTGTCGTGTGTGTTTGAGTCCCACCCAGGGCAGCTCTTTCTCTCTCCGTGCGTCCCTGTATAATACTGTGGTACGTATGTAGTAAAATCGTTTGCCTTGTGTTGACATCCCCTGATTCATGCTCACAAACTCAGAGGTTTCTAATGCCAGTCAGCTTTTAATAAGAATATCATCCAAATTATGGCTGGCATTCTATTTCACCGATATTTGTGTGTGGAAAATTTGTTTCATGTATAGGTGGCTCTTATAAAGCCAATTGAGCAAAATGAGACAATATAGCCCAGGAGCGACATCAATAAGACATATATACCTCTTTCTTCAGTAGTGGTAGCTGCTGTAGCTTTCTAGTCTTCTTTGAGGTCTCAAGCTTATGAAACAGACTCAGCATAAATCCTCCCATGCCACCTAATGGTACATCATAGCAAAAGAGAATGGTAATAATATAGCAGTAGGCAATAAGGGATAGCTTTTACTGCTTGTAGGAAAACTTTCAGCATGGAAACAACAATGCGTGTGTGAAAACACAAACAGCTGCATTTTAAGTACACGCCATATCGAGTATTGAATAAGCCAGCAAAGCAGCTTAGTAAGCAGGTGTAATGCGAACAATAACACTTGTTTTGAGCTGTTCATCTGTCTAGTGTGCACTGCCAACAACCTTTGACAAAAACACTTGGACCATGTGACTGGAAAGACGAAGCCGTCAAACCTTGATTTCCTCTAACTTTTGTCACTGGCTCGTTCACCAAGACAGAAGACAAGCTGGTGCACATTGAAAGAGAGCTCTCTCTGTAAGTGCACATTTTAACACACGCGAATTTGACAGCCTAACTTCTACACATAACGCTAAATGTGGTTGCACAAAGTGGAGGATTTGTCTTCATCTGAGACTTTATGGCAGTCGTAGACTGGCGTTGGTAGTCTTGTCAAAAGCAAAATTGCATGGCTTACAAACTTATACAACTGGCGTTCCAACAAGTAACTAACCTTTCGAGGCCTTCTGTAGCCCCGGCTGTCCCCTCTCAATCACTTTCTATCCCCCTGCCTGACTACACTGCACTTGATGATCATGCACCCAAACGTCCTAGTGTGCATGAGCTTTGTTTATCGTTGTACACAGTCGCTACAACAGTGAGAGGCAGTCTGAGTCAAAAGTGCTCGCAAGTTCATGTCTACTCTAAGTCAGTGTGACGTAGCCTTTTGAACATCCTCTTTAGTTACGCTGATGTACTTTCTACACTAATTAGGCTTGAAGTGATGTAAGAGCACATAAGCACTGGCACAGATAGCTTGGTCGTAGTTATGAATCTAGTAATACTTTACTCACCGACAACGTGAACCAGTCCAGAGCCGGCAAAGTCAAAGAAGACGAAATCGATGCCCAGGTCCTCCGACCGGATGGAGGAGAACCTGTGATCAATGTTGCCTGTGAATGTCCCGTTGCAAGTCTCGTATGGAGACCAGACGAATGGGCCGGGGTCACTGCGAGACGACCAGAAGATTCGAGCAAGGCTCGGGTGAATGAATGCCTGAAGTTGAGAGACACTATCATGAGTGCAACCCTCAGTTATAGAGTAATTTGAGAACGTCTACAGGGAGTTGCATCTGTTGACATTGCTCGTTAGTACAGGGAGTGAGGAATCTGCCTCTTACACTGTTTTCCAGTGCCACAACACCTTTGTGGACCAGCCTGTGCTGTATTACTACACCACAGGTGCTAATTCTCAGGAACTCCACACTTTCACTATCCGCAATATGTATATACAATGTTCTTTGAAATGTATAAACACAAGGCATTAAGTGGCTATTGGGAAGCTGCCAAAAATGTGTTACTACTACATTGTTATGAATGGACATGGATTCTGGACACACCCTAGTTGTAAACAGAATTCATAGAGCAACACATAATACTACATCTTGAGGGAGGCAATAGTGGCACCGAACAATTTGCACTCCCTGGAGGTATACCAGCCAAAATATAGAGGGGGGCTCTACGCAGACACATTTTCGATTTACCACAGCATACACAGTTACACCTCCTGGCAAAGAGCCTTATGTTATACCCTGGGAGAAGCAAATTGGTGCATGACTAGCAATTACTACTGCATGCACTATACTGCCTTACCGTCATGACAAAAGAGTAGACAAAGGCAGCAGCAGCTCTCATCTGGACATCGTGGCCAACCAGTGTCCCTCCAATGATGGTGGCCGTGTTGGTGGCAAATGTGTACTAGAAAGAGACAATTGTTGGCACACATGCAATAGCACTTTCCACCAATGATACACTGTAGTGGCTAACAAACATTAATATAGTGAGTGTAGAGGGGATGCATGCCTGCAGAGTTGCGTGGTAATTAGTGCCCTCTGCTGAATAAACTGTGTGGTCCCATTTCAAACAAGGACATATGGTGTGTGTGTGTGTGTCATTGTGTGTGTAGTGATAAGAAAATGTCAGATGTTGCCGATCACTCTGAAGAACCAGAAGATGTAGTCCTGCTCCTCGCCCACATCACCCTGGTCAGTGTTACCAGACACTGCATAGCCAAACAACCAGAAGCCAAAGGTCCCAGCAAATATGTCAATATATTTCTGGAGAGAGTAAACCGTATAACTGTAAATTTCCGGAAAAACCACCATTAGTTGCATGGGCTCTGTTGCATTCACAGTTGTGTATGTGGAGGTCTAGCCAGCACGCCAGCAAACTACAACATGATATGTATTTACAGCCCCATCCCACAATCCAGAAAGAAAATCATGCTGTGTCTGCTTTATCTTACCACCCACTTTATGGGTGGGGGATTGTCCTGTCTAGTGCATAGATGTTATGCGAGAATGCAGAGTTTAATGAGATTCGGTAACATTTAATTGTGAGGGTATGGGAATATGCATGTGGACTGGATGAAGGCCCATTACCACCTCTGTGGTATGTCATAATCATATTTTTGTGGTTGCAAATGTTTCTCACAACCACACCCATCCAGCCTACATGCACGATCACACAAGATAACTGGTGGAGAACAATAAAATAATACAGGGAAGCAAGTGTGGGAGGGATATTTTGCTGGCTGCTGCACAAGGAGGCTGATGCCAAGCGCACGGACTGGTCCGTTTCTAGCTTTTATAGGCGGCCAGCCTTGCTGACATATGCGCGCTACCCTCATACAGCTATGTGACGTTGTGGCCTGGAGGCACCTCCCTATTAACCTCGTTTAACCAAGGGTTAAACTACATACAACATACTTACTAATTTACGCCACTCATACTGACACATTTCACACATTAGTCTATAGTGGCAATGAGCTCCATGAATGTGAGGTCTATCATGTATTGCATTGTACTGGAGAGTGGCAGAGGAAGCCCAGTACAATTACCTCAGCCAGCACCTTTCAATATTCAGAAGGAAAACGAGGATTGCCAACTGGTGCACCGCTTCACTGCATGCATGCATGCATTGGCGTAAGACGACGCAGCATTCGACAGCTCATGCATTGGCGTAACAGACAGACAGACGCTTCACTGCATGCATTGCCGTAACAGACGCTTCACTGCGTGCATTGGCGTAACAGACACTTCACTGCATGCATTGGCTGTAACAGACGCTTCACTGCGTGCATTGCCGTAACAGACACACAGACATAATACAGGGATGCCATTCAGTATAGAGGAAAGCGTCACACATCTACCTCACCAGTAACTGTACTCCACACAGAACTATCTCTCTGTTTCTAAGGACAGAAACTAATGTTTTGAAGGGGACAACAACTGAAAACAAATCACTCTAAAATGCTCTGCTCCCAAGAGTTCCTATCACACAATAACTATCTCTGTAGCGCACACAATTCTGCTGAGCCCTAAAACTGACAAACATCACACAATTAGCTTCCCAGACAAGAAAAAGTGAAACGAGAGCAAACAGATTGTTGCAGGAGCTAACAACTGTGTCCTTACAGCAAGAACAACTCGTCTTCTCTTGTCTTGCTTGCTGAATGACACTTCCACATACAGAAACCCCGCTTTCTGGTACAAAGAGAAAAATAATACAGTAGCCAGGTCAGGTCATGGTTGCAGTAGAACACAGTATGTATCATGTTTCTGGCACAAAAGTCCAACACCCCTATACTAGGGGATCAGTTTATTCTGCACACGATACAGATAAAGTGTAGGACTCACTGGAAAGCCTAGTTTTTAACGTACAATAGCCTGCCTTTTACGATAAATGGCTCTATGAGACTGAGTAAATCCTCACCATGAAGAACATGAGGATGGCGCACAGCACGACCCAAGTAGCACTTGCATCGTCGTAGCGATCCGAGTAGGTATTTTTCTGCAATCGGTTAAGGACATGTAGAGCCACAATCTTATGAGATAAAGAAGCTTTAGTTTAGGATCTTACGCCGCACAGAGAAGGTTCCCGAGAGAAGCAGTTGGTGTGGACATCCGGGCAGAGATCGGGGTCCTCAAAGCAAATGTCCGTCGAGTTTTCCAGCGCAGACATAATTTCTATGATTCACCTACTACTGCCGCTTTACCAAGCACCGCGTTTTTTCACGCAAACGAGCACTAACACTGCAGCTCAGCAGCTAGTCAACCCGGATTACGGACCACTCTATAATAACAACCCCACCCTCCTTTCTGCCCTGCGCGCGCATAAACAACAATGCATCACATGTACAATTACATAATTATGATTTTCACAACTCTAATTACAATGTGGTGGTTTTTCAGATACTGGGTTTCCTTGAGGGCGTTGTACCAGAGAGTCTTCATGGGCCAGGAAATACTTTTTTCCCCAACCACTCTCCGACACCTCCTTTCCTTTCACTCGACGAGAGTGTCTATCTGGAGTCTTGTCGGTGAAGCGGATGACCCTCTCCACGTGGCCGTGGTCCCCAGCCTGGTTCACCAACTGAACTGTTATGTCCCCCATGAACGGCCAGTGAAGGTGCTTATCAAACGGACCCTGCATTAGGTATGCATAGACCGCCACATGGGTCTCGTCTCCTGTGACTCCTTTGGGACACACGCGCAGGCACATTCTGTAGCCGTGGGGATGCGTGTAAAAAGCCGGCGTAATCATGTCAATGCTTGTCACTTTCACGCGAAACTCTTTTGGAAACTCTGAGTGTTGAACAGTGTCCACCTTCAGTGTCTTGACTTCTTCTTTGAGATTTTCAATTCCTTCTTGCGCAGCAGATAGCTTCTTCATGAGCTCACGAACCTCCCGATCTTTCTCCTCACGTAGCTCCTTATTCTCCTTAACCAAAACATCAGCGGTCGCTGTTAGCTGGACAATGTGTCTGTTTAGCTCCTGCAGGGCTCGTCCGTGTGCTTGTTCTAGTTGCTGGTGCTTAGAGCTACACTCGGTCATCATGGACACTTGTTTGACGTTCAGTTCGTGTACAAGGCCCACATTTCCCCTCAACTCTTGGCTGGTCTTCACAAGACTCTCTGTAACTGTGGCCAGCAGTGTTAGGTGGAGTGAAGTCTCCACCTCAATGTGCTGCAGTACGTCCTTGCGAACTAGCTCTGCCTTGCAGCCAGCATACTGATACGGGCATACAACTTGAACCAGGGGACACTCTTCCTGGAAATGGGTCTCCAGTTGGTGTCGTTCGAACGGAAATTCTCGGCATTTATTAGGGCAAGCTACGGGGTATTTTTTGCACTGAGAATAGTGGTTTTGTACCACATCATCATACACAGCCTTATAGGTTTGGCAATGGTCACAGGTGTACGGTCGCTTTGGGCACTGCTTGGATTCGTGAGCGGCAATGTGACGTCGTTGGAACCACTCCCCACACCTGTACTGGCAGGCCACTCCCACAAACTGGCACTCCCGAGGCTGATTCTCGGGATCACAACCCCTGTTCAGGTGCAGCTCAAGCTCCCCCAGCTTCCCAGACCATTCGCAGCCTTCCTTCTTGTAGGTGCACCTCGCCTCCAGCTCTTTCATGGACCTCTCGAGCCCACGGTCCTGGAGGTGGGTGAACTCGGGCTCCCCGCATAGTTTACAAGCTGTCTTTTCCGGGTTGTCCGGATCGAGGCACTGGCGACATATCTTCTGTCCGCAGCAGCTGATGAGGTGAGGCTCCCGGAGAAAGAGGTGGCACACGGGACAGGCCGTCTGGAAGGCCGCTGGAGGCAGTTCCACCAGCTCACAGTCGTATCCTCCGCTGCTTCCTTTACCGCCACCTCGTGGAGCTGCCGTGGGTACAATCTGCAGGAGGTCGGCCTCGGAAGAATCAGGATTGTCCCCTGTGCGACGCTCGGCCATATTTATTTAACCCCTGAGATCATGTGACGGCCCGGCGCCCGCCGCCTTGTTAATCGGCCGGCGGCACCTCCCCCTTTCATTGTTGTATTATTGTCGGGCCCCGAACTACAAAATGAGTGTAACAAAAAAATTCTCTGAAATTGGGATAGGTATGTCAAGAGAAGATGTCTACAGGTCATTCATCTAGCTAACCTTTGCTTCTTAGAATGTCTGGAATTTGCCATTTTGGCAAAAACGTTAGGGTTGGGATATAATTATCTCCTGATGTGACATCCCCTTAACCTTATTAATTTCATTAACATATATACACCTAGCACAATGAATGAAATCACATGACAATGTTGCCGGCACACCTATATATTAATAGGTGAGATACTCCTGTAGATTGTCACCTCACAGGTTTATTATTGGTGGGATGGGAAGTCAGTGTATCAAAAGCTGGAAGGTTAGTAAATGCACTTTTCTACCAGGTCATCACTGCTCTGTAATAATTCAAAGCACCATGATGAAAAGTAGTAATAAGGTAAAGGTTTATGTGTGGCTTAGGTAGAACAAAACTAGTAACAGAAACATCAGCCAAAACAATTCCAAACACTTCCGTGTTTATCGCGGCATGAGTGACCAGCTTGTTTGGTGGTGGGAATTAGCTCTAAGTCCTCTACTGCTCCTCCGAATGACACTGAACCAGGAGATGAAGAGGCTACTCGTTACTGGAGGGAGAATGAGAAGTGACTGGATGAGACCCAGTTAGTTCTGACCTTCGAACTCCATCAAGTCCTGCGAGTGAAATGGTTCCGGTCCATACAGGATATTATTCCCAGCATAACTACCTGTTTACTTGCTATCATTTTTGTTGCTTTTAATTCCGTGTGTGCTTGCAGCATTGCAGCAATTGTAGGTTACATTTCTATGTTCTGTCAATTCCCCCCAGCGTCACAGAAAAACAGTGCAGTTATCTTTGGTCTCTTATTGCATCATGTGTCAATGCATGTGGGGGCAAGAGGGGTATAGCTAATTATAGGTATATACAATGGAATATCAAGTGCTCAATGCATGTGCTTAGCTACATATCTGCTCACGAAGAGCAGGTCAAAGTTTCTTGAGCAGTCACCTTTTTCGTACGCAGGGATTCCTTCGCAATGTTAGTTCGATGGCCCTGTATTAACTTGCCTGTACAGATATAAAGCTAGGGTCATTTTCTGGCAATTCATGGTCACGTGTCTGATGGCCTAACTGTGATGTTTGAGATTGATGTTTATTTAAGCATTACGTAATAGGCTAAATACATCATTGTACTGACACAATCACAGTTTGAGATGTAAGGAAGAGCAGTTTTTATTGCGTAGTCACACTGAGATGAATGCATCAGTATCTGTCACGATTTGTTTTATCCTGCTAATAGCCAAGTATGCAGCAGGTAAGAGATATAGCTATAGCTATAATGTATAAACCTCAAGATTCTTCCAGCTAGAGCCGTCTGCACTGATGGGGACGTTAGGCTAGAAGATAAAGAGAGTGATTATGTAGGGAGAGTTGGGCTCTGTTACAAAGGAGTCTGGGGCACAGTTTTTGATAGAGAAATCAATGATAATGCTGCTATTATTGTATGCAGACAACTTGGATTGCCAAACCATGGTTAGCTTATTAATACTTTCGAAATACTCTTTCACCATTGGCATGCAGATCCTAAAGTTGTGCTGCAGTATGCTGGAGCTAAGGGTCGAGTTCACTTCATTCAAATAAGCTGCACGGGAACGAAGCAAATTGCTAGAGTGTAGAAATGAGGAGTCTGGATATAGTGGTCCTGGTAGCTGGTTGGACGGGACTTTGGTGTGAGTTGTGGTGAGTTTGTTAACTTACTTCAAGTTTAGAAATGGTGTATCTCAAGAGCCAATTCCAACGATTCATTTGTGATGTTGCACAATGCATATACAATTATGCAACATCACCTGCTATTGGGTAGCTACCCAAATGAGTTTCACTCTCAGAGTAACCGTTTACGATTCTAGGGGATTGGGATGAGCCATCAAAGTATGCTGTGCCTTACTTCAAAACAGTAGTTTTTCATCATGCGTTTTGTGCAATCAGAGAGTCGGTAGACTCTCTATATAGGGACGACACGGGTGAAATCTCACGTGATCCGCGTACAAAACGACTAAAATCTCGGTGAGAATCACTCCCTAGGCCTTCAAAATATACTAGCAATAGTCTACGGGCCCATATCTACCTATACATATCCCCCAAGACCTCATACGCACCTTCAGTCGTCCACGCGAGAATTCGCTCATACGCGATTTCACGATTTTCGTGTCATCATCATATTCTTCATCTTCTTCTTCTTCTTCTTCTTCTTCTTCTTCTTCTTCTTCTTCTTCTTCAGACCCGCTAGCTCCTTACCGGAAGCACTTGAAGCGTTGATTTTTTCACAGAACGTCTCCGAATTTGCCGGAGGTGTGCATGCATATCAAGCGATCGTTTCTTTCTTGCCGCAAGTCACTACGGTAGATCGTTGAGCTCTTCCTCGGTAGTCACTGAACAACGCCATTTGTTGCTAACTCAGCATCAGTGAGCCGCATGCGCTGAGGAGGGCGTTTCCAATGCGGCGCGCGCGCGCATTTTGTCTCGTAAACCTGGTCCACGAACGAGACTAAGCCAGGACTGGATGCCTTCAGAGAAAACTACTCTCATCCTTCGGTGCCTTCTGTAAGTCAGTGTGCACATTTGTAAGTGGCTAGCTTGCGTTTTGCTGTTGATTTGCACGAGGAGCAACTTGGCAATCTGCGCCGTGTTACGCGTGCCTTGCCAGGCGCCTTCATTCTTTGTCCCCCAGGTTATAGCTATCATTGTAGTCTGATTACTGAAGCCTGCCTATGAAACCACCCCACCATATGTGCCACAATCTAATTGCATCCTTGTTGGAGACACTACACATACACCCTGCTTCAGGTAGGAGCAGCCCATTAGCTTCTGCTTTCAACAGTTATCTCTACAACACCCATGAACATCAGAGTGACTGAAAATGCAGTGTTGTCATAAGGCGTGAAAAATAGTGGAAACAAGTGGAAAAATCATTTCTTCAAAATGAAAGGGGGATATAGGGATGGCTTGAAGCACCAAAAAGGATGAAACAAGGGGTCATTACACAGCAAAGATGCACAAAGCTACATGACACCATCCCTATATCTTTGTGTTATTGTTCACAACCAATCTCGCCCTGCTGACATTTTCCTCCCTAATTGGGAAAGAGCCGCGCTTGCCGTCTCCGTCATTTCCACTCTGCAACAGTTTACCTTGAAGTAAAGTTTAATATGAGACAAAGATATAGGGATGGTGTCATGTAGCTTTGTGCATCTTTGCTGTGTAATGACCCCTTGTTTCATCCTTTTTGGTGCTTCAAGCCATCCCTATATCCCCCTTTCATTTTGAAGAAATGATTTTTCCACTTGTATAATATAGCTAGCGCCAACACCTGTGCTTGCATGTCCCGAGGTAGAAAGGCAAAGTTGCATAATGTCAGTCTGCAGCGTAAATTCTACATGTGTTAACAAATGAGGTGAGGTAAGGCATAGCAAACAATTAAATCAACTACCCCCAGGACAGCTCTTTTTCTAGAGGAGCTGCCTGTGTGGGATTTTAACCCAAGACACTCTGTTGTTTAGGCGGGCACTGTACCAACTATACATGTCGCTACATGAACCAAGTGATTACTAAATTCCACTCAGCTCCACCTTGCACTGATGGTGAGGTGCGGCTACTGAGGGACAGAGTGCAGACTTGCCGAGGCCAACGCTGGGGCTATGTCTGTTATGATAGGGGCTGGACTCGTCAGGATGCACAAGTTGTGTGTAGAGAGCTTGGGTTCTCACCAAAAGGTTACTAATATTATTACTTTCTTGTAGTTTATTTCTCATCACCATTTCACCCCGCTTGGCAGATGCATTAGTGGATTACCACATTTTTGTGTTTGGTCAACATACATTCCCCTACTTTGTGAATAAAACTAACTGCAATGGGTCAGAGGGACATCTTCTGGACTGCCCAGATGTTAATGAAACTCTTTTGTGTGGATCTGTAACTGCACCTAAGGCATATTGTTCAGGTAAACCTATTTTTAAAGCACACAAAAACAATCCCCTTAAGTATGGATGGAAAGAGTAAGACGTGAATAACATTCTGTACATGTTTTGCTTTACTACCCTGCTGGAAGGCACTATTTATCCCAAGGAAAGTATTACAAAGATGAAGGGAAGACAATTTTTCAGTGCATATTGTAGCTGCACATTGTACATTTAGAATGAGTCCTTATAAACATTAAAGAGATCATGTGCAATGTCATCATGTGCTTTATCAAACATAATTAGGGACCCAAGAGTGTAATGGAACGCAGACAGTTCGTCTTCAGAAGATTGTTAAGGGTTTGGAAAATTATGGAAGGCTGGAAGTTTGTTATGAAGGATACTGGGGAAGTGTATGTGATGATTCCCTTCATCATTCCGAAGTATTGCCGTCTGCATTAGTAGCTTGCAAAGAACTGGGATATTCAAAAGTCATGAAAGGTAGCTATATAGCTAATCCCAATGCACTATTGACTATTGATAATCAATCTCACGTATCACAGCGGAGTTTACCCCCATTGGGAGAACTGTCTACAGCCTCCCAAGTATTCCTATTGTGGTAGATGATATACGATGTGCTGGTGACGAAACGTCTCTCCTCGATTGCCAGAAAAGTATCAAACTGCATAACTGCATAAGTTGGGAGGATGTAGTGTTGCATTGCAGAGGTAAAAGGCATTAGAAAAATATTGAACCTTTGTCATCTTGATCAATGCTTAGAAAGAGAGTGCAATGATACTGATATACGCCTGGTTGGTGGACGGACGTCATTGGATGGGGAAGTTGAAGTTTGTCATAATCATCTCTGGATGCCAGTTTGTAGCGAGTCATGGGACGAGAGAGAAGCAGAAGTAGTTTGTGCACAACTAGGACACAAGAGAAGTAAGACACCTTGTATGTATAACCCAGCATCTCATTTAAACACTGTTTAATGTTGTTACAGGATCTTATGCCTTGAAAGAATATGAACTTCCTGATCCAACGGAAGGTGTAAATATATTACCGTGCTATGGAAATGAGACATTGTTGACAAACTGCAATTATGACATAACAGAGTGTACATCGAGAGCAGCAGTCGTGTGTACTGGTTAGCTACTCTCTTTCTTAGAATCTGCAGACTAAAAATCTTTCGACAGATACTACATGTGAGGAAGATGGTGTGAGGTTGGTAGGTGGTCACAGTGTGAAGGAAGGGAGATTTCAAATGTGCCATGAGGGAGAGTGGCACTCAGTCTGTGCTGACTCCTGGAGCGAGAGTGGATCTGAGGCCAGGACTGTCTGTGCTACACTGGGATACATAGGAGACTCAGGTATGGCACTTAGGGATGCTCTTCTTTTTTCCTTGAGTTGGCTTAGGTGCAGTTGACTTGTTTGCTTTGTGTTTCCCTTTTTACCACATCGATGTCACACATGCTTTCCTAAGACATTTTGATAACACCCATTTCCTCTTTCAGTCACAGCTGATTTTGGAAGAGATCACACACCATTACTTCCAATGGATATCCAGTGCAATGGAGTAAAAGATGAACTTAACTTGTGCATTTTTACGAATCGAAGCAGTTCCTATGAGTGCAAGAAAGTGGCTAGTGTCATCTGTGATGGTTTGAATAGCTTTTCATAAAAATAATTGTTATAGTAATGAATGATGTCCTTTTCTTCCAGCTCGCTGCACATTGGAAGACATCTCCTTTTGTACTGACTGTAGTGGTCCGTCTTCAATCTGTTCTATTTATGACAACTGCTTTTGCTCATCTGATTGTTTTATTTCCGGGAAATGCTGTCCGGATGTGGAAAGCTATTTGCAATGCTTAAGTGAGGATCACACAATCTTGTTTTTCTGGACCGTGTGGTTGACTTGTTTTGACCCAGATGTAGATGACTGTCAGACAGGGGAGGTACGTCTGGTCGGAGGGGTGACAGGATCCTCGAGTGGAGTGGTGGAAGTGTGCGTGAATGGAGTGTGGGGCACTGTCTGTGACTACAACAATGAGTGGACTCTTGTGAATGCAGCAGTAGTTTGCCGCCAACTGAATTTACCAATATCCTGTAAAACATCTATTTTTGAAGAAAACCATTCTGTTCATAGCCAGCTTTTATTTTAGATGTTTCGGCATTGCCATTTTCTGTATTTGGATCTGCTTCAAGTGGTCCAGTTCTCTTTGACAGTGTTCACTGCATGGGAACTGAAGACAATCTCCTGGACTGTCCTCATTCGAGTGTCGGTAACCATTTCTGCCACCAAGAATTTCCTTCAACTGTAGCGGTCCGGTGCACAGGTTCAGTGGTATTATAATATGACATAATGGTTGCTATACTCTGACTACCACATGTTCCAGCGGACTGTGAGGAAGGAGAGGTGAGACTGCGGGACGGTACACATGAGTCCAATGGTCGTGTGGAGACTTGCCAGAACGGGATATGGGGCTCTGTTTGCAGTGATAACATGTGGGATGTCCACGATGCTGGTGTGGTTTGCAGACAACTTAACTTCACATCAGATGGTATATAAATTAAATATTCCCTAATTAATACAAATTTCTTTTTTCATTTTACTAAGATGTTCGAGTAACTGAAGTGTTTGGGAGAGAGGGTCCAGTGCTAATGAGTAAAGTTGGTTGTAATGGATCAGAGACTGGACTCCACCTCTGTCCTAGTAACAGGTTTGGCAGCCAGCCCTGCGAAAATGGAACTGCAGGGATAATATGCAACACAAATTTTGGTGAATGCTCAGTTATGTTAACTTTCTGTAACAGGTGTGCAAATAAACCAATATGAATGCTTGCACACTGATGTCTCATCTACATTTTAGCTATCGTCCAATATATTACATTTTGCAATCACAGAGATATGTTTATGATTCCATGTCTCAGGAAAATATCATGTGCTGCATAATATTATTCTTCGACATTTGACAGTCTACTGGCACTGATTTTTTTCAGATACTCACAACAGGTGTAATGATGAAAATGGTACCCCACCTGAGCATTGGAACACTCTGAGTAAGACTGAAAGGTATCTCTGTACTGGACTATGTTGACCAGATCGATATAGAATGATGATAATTAACGTTTGTCTAGGTTTGGTTATTGTGAGCCGTATGCTGGCAACTGCAAGCTCTGTAATAAGATATTCAGAGGAAGTATTGACTATGTATTTATTGCGGCTGTTCACGGGAGTCAGAAAAACATATCCTCAATTATTGACAGTGAAATTCCACCTTATCTTGAAAGCAACTCCTTGGAAAGATGGTGATGAATGTTACGAAAACATTCTGAGAGTGATTTGTAACTATTACTTGATGCCATGTGGGACAGAGTCGGTAAAATTGCCACCATATTCTGTATGTTCTGAAGAGTGCTCAACTGTTGAGAGAGACTGCCCCATAGTTTGGAGAACTGCCAAGTACGCACTAGAGAATTACAACTTCATCAGCTGTGATAAAACGTCTAGCTTTATCTTTCCTCTTCCAAGTTGTTGTACTAGCATGGGCATAGAATGGTCAAATAAACCCGGTAGGTGCATGCATGAATGTACCACAGAGTGTTTTTTATGTTTCTAATATCCTGCAGAAACAAAAACATCTCGTGTGAACGTGATTGGTGTTGGTGGAGGAGTGGTAGTGAGTTTCTTCTTTCTTATAATCCTCTCCGTGGCAATGCTACTACTTTATGTCTACGTTAAGAGGAGAATAAAACATAAGAGGATACAAACAGTTCAAAGGAATATACTCCAAATGTATATGGCTATAGGTAACACTTACAAAATAATTTTATTTTCACCTGTTAATGGCATGCAGGGTGGAACCAGAAGTCAAACATGATGAAGAGCCACCTGGTCACTACTCACTTTTAAACACCACACCAGGCTCTAACCCTTATTGTAAGTTAACAATTATTATTTGCAAATGAAGTGAGTGAGCCTACCTACCTAGTCATCTGTTTTTATGGCACTGCCACTTATTGCATGCCTCAACACTTCATAATTATGCAGCTGCGAAAGAACAGCCTCTCACTGGACAGTGTTTGCTCAAAGTGGAGCATCCTGAGAGCCGTGGTCGCCTTAACTCACGCTATGTACGCGAGCTGACACGTGGAAAGTTTCTCATTAGAAGCCAAGAGTTGTCACAGCTGGAGATGATAGGGCAAGGTAAATTATAATAATATCCACATTCAACTTTTAGTTAATAAACGTATTCTAGGAGAATTTGGGGTTGTGTATAAAGCTATGCTGGGTCCTAAGGGAACATTTAGTCGTGATGTGGCTGTTAAGACGCTAAAAGGTTGGTCCAAAATAGAAATTATAATGTAGTCAATATTATGATGAATACAGGTTGTTTTGACCAACAAGAAGTGGATAAGATTGTTGAGGAGAGCCTGAAGATGAGCCGGTTCAAGCATGCTCATGTGATGGGACTCATTGGGGTGTGCCTTAACGATGCGGGGTCTGCCCCACGCCTCAAAACCCAGCGACAATGACTCACCATGGCTTCAAAATCACTAGCAATAGTCTAGAGGCCAATACCATATTCCCCAAGACTCCCTACGTGCCCTCAGTTCCCCACGAGAGAATTCGCACTTAACGCGATTTCGCGATTTTCGTGTCATCATCATCATATTCTTCTTCTTCTTCAGACCCGCTAGCTCCTTACCGGAACCAGTTGAAGCGTTGATTTTTTCACAGAACGTCTCCAAATTTGCCGGAGGTGTGCACGCATATAAAGCGATCGCTTGTTTCTAGCCGCAAGTCACTACGGTAGATCGTTGAGCTCTTCCACAGTAGTCACTGGACAACGCCATTTGCTGCTAACTCAGCATCAGTGAGCCGCATGCGCCGAGGAGGGCGTTTCCCCAATGCGGTGCGCGCGCATTACTATAGTCTCGTGCGTGAACCAGACTAAGCCAGGATGCCTGCAGAGGAACTCTTATCCTCCAGTGCCTTCTGTAAGTCAGTATACACATTTTTGACTGGCTAGCTTACGTTTTGCTGTTGATTTGTATATACGAGGAGCAACTTGGCAGTGTGCGCCGTGTCACGCGGGCCTTGCCCAGCGCCTTCATTGTTTGTCCCCCAGGTTATAGCTATCATTGTAGTCTGATTACTGAAGCCTGCCTACGAAACCACCCCACCATATGTGCCACAACCTAATTGCATCGTTGTTGGAGGCACTACGCATACACCCTGCTTCAAGTACGTTAGCTTCTGCTTTCAACAGTTATCTCTACAACACCCATGAACATCAGAGTGACTGAAATACAGAAGGCATGAAAAATAGTGGAAACAAGTGGAAAAATCTTTTCTTCAAAATGAAGGGGTGATATAAGGATGGCTTGAAGCATCAAAAAGGAAGAAACAAGGGGTCATTGGCTGGCAGGCGCGAGGAAAAATATACCCGTGCGCATTCCTAGTTAACAGAGGATCAGTCAAAAAACCATTGAGTCCTCTCTTATAAGATCCTCTAACGAGTATTAGGACCCGCCATGATAGTAACATAAACTAGCTGTCATGTTAAATACCAATGAGATCATGTCACGGTTATTATTATACAAGTGGAAAAATCATTTCTTCAAAATGAAGGGGTCATATAGGGATGGCTTGAAGGAAGAAACAAGGGGTCATTACAGAGCAAAGATGCACCAAGCTACGTGACACCATCCCTATATCTTTGTCTCATAGTAAACTTTACTTGTGAACTATATATAACACAAAGATATAGGGATGGTGTCATGTAGCTTGGTGCATCTTTGCTGTGTAATGTCCGCGACTGAGGCCGCTCGTGCGCGCGCTCTACTGACTGCGCGCGAAGCCAGACTTCTGCGCGCACGGCGGAAGCTAGACTTCCTAGGAATGACGGAAGTTACACTTCCTTTTGGTGGTTAATTGACATTCCTAAGCGTGACTAATTGACGACGTACATACGTACGTACGTACGTATATAGTTGCCTCACGCTAACGCGCTCGGCAATTAAATGCAGATCCAGGATGTTCAAAAGCGTCTGATGGTGATGTGCAACCAGATAGCTAGTGGTATGAAGTATCTGGCTGCTGAGAAATATGTTCACAGGGACTTGGCAGCAAGGAACTGCATGTGAGAAAGCGCACTTTCCTGTCCTCAATATACTAATTATACAATCATCTAGGATTGATTCCCACTTTGTGATAAAGATCTCAGACTTTGGTCTGTCAGAGGACGTGTTCCAGAGGAACTACTACAGAGAGGGAGTGGATGGAGAGATGGCCAAACTCCCTGTCAAGTGGATGGCTCCAGAGAGTCTGAGTGATGGCCACTTCTCAGAGAAAAGTGATGTGGTATGTCAGTCAAGATGTCGTGAAAAAGAGAGAGTGTTCTGTGATCTTTACTAGTGGTCATTTGGAGTGATAATGTGGGAGATATTCAGTGGGGGTAAGTCCCCGTATCCTGGGACCAATCCCGTCAGCCTCATGCAGATGTTGGAGGGAGGAGAGAGGATGCCTAAACCATACAATTCAGCATGTTCTGATGAAATGTGAGTTTGATAGCTAACAATTACGGACAATAATGATGTCACTCTCCTATATTATACCAATAGTTACATGATGATGTTGGAGTGCTGGGAGTCAGCTCCAGACAAGAGACCTTCCTTCAAGACATTGTACAGAAACACCTCCAAGTTCATTGAAGGACTAGCTGGTTACCTGGAGGTGGGATTTAACCCCTTTGTAGCCCAGACTGCCACTGAACCAGGAGATGAAGAGACTACTAATGAGAGGAGTGAGGACGAGGAGGGAGAGGAAGGACTGGACAAGCCAGTTGTAACGGTCAAAGTCCTTCCTCCATCTGTTGAATCTGGAGGTAAATTCCCAGAGTAGCTATTCAATCAAGCAGTGACTTTAGATGATATATAGATTGGCTCTTTTTTAGTTTGCAACAGTTATGAATGATCTGAATTTAAGCAGCAGCAGGTAAAAAGTGTGTGCTTGACACACTTACAAGGATGTGAATGTGGAAAAACGTGTCCTTTCTAAATGCTGTGAATTAATGGCACTGTGTGCATGCACAGCAAACACATTCCGCTTACTGCATGTGTCTATAGTGCATACCGTATTGCACTGCCAAATGTAACTAAGACACACATTAATGCGTTCCAACGAAAAAAAGTAGAACACAATTATTAGACACTTGGTAATGGTCATGGACTGCACTATATCCAGTATTACATTCACACCGGACCAGCCACCAGTAGAAGTGCACGTGACACTCAGACTAGAGCCAGTTGTATTGTCAGCGCACTGTGTAGTGACAGTCACTGATCTTCTATGAGAGGCAAGTGTATATCGCACTAGACCCACACTTTGTGCTGGCAGAAAAGAGAAAACTTTACCTCTTGCATTCATAAAATGTGTGTGGAGGAAAATTTACACAAGCAAGCAATGTCAGTTCCAAGTATGTAGCCATCATCATTGTATGACTGCATTAATGTACTAGTCATCCGCGGTTGTCTCCTGCTTTGCTATATTGTCGCCACCTACTTGTTGTTTAGTGAAGTGTGAGGACAATGGTGAAGGATTCTGTATGTAGATGGCCACAGAAGCGACATGTCTAACAGGGTAGTTGAGCAATGTCGAGTCTCAGACTCACACAATGCAGTCAAACGAAAATCGAGCAGGTGGGGTACCGTGTCTAATGTGCTCATGTAATAAATCATATGTTTGGCATACACAAGGGAGCACCTCGTACTCGCGACAATATAGGGCTTGTGTGAGGAGAATTTTACACGAGCAAGCGATGTCAGTTCAAGTATGTAGCTATACATCCATTGTACTACTGCATCACGTTCACTAGGTCATCCCTGTCTTGTCTCCTTGCTTTTTATGGCGTCCCTATATTCCACACTTTACCAATTCGAAGAATTTTTTATTTAGCTACCTGTATTCTTTGAATTTTTTAAATCAACAATCTCTATTGCAATAGTAGCTCCAAATCAGGTTGATGGTCATCATCCCAGGCATGGACAGCAAGTCAGCAACACTGTTATTCCTGTTATGTCTAGTTTCACTGCCTAGCTACTTTTGCTCTGCAAACTCTTTATGTGAGGATCCGCCAGTTTCACCAGTTAAGACGTTCCACCACACGGTCCCGACAGGTATTCTACATTACCTCTTTCTTCTTTATTGTTCGTGAGTCTCTCCGACTTTTCAATGTACAGTACTACGTATACCATATGCAGACGAGCTACTCTGTATAATAATCCCTCGGAGTGTGTCCCTGTTTTGGATCAACATACCATTGTTTTTGCTATCCTCAGCGTGTACAGTGACGTCTAACGAGAAGCAGGAAGATATAGAAGAAGAAGAAGAATTGAAGAGAAAAAATGAAAGTCAAGCTAAGTGGCAAACCCTCGGCGAACTGCGCATGTGCGTACCACTAATTGATGGGCTGGCTTTTTTATGCCTTACTCGTGGACCCTCATCCACGCTAGTAGATCGCGGAGAGTCTGGTACGGCGTAGCTACAGTAGTAATAGCAAGCGGCGTCGAGTTGACATGCCCGTCTAGTTGTGACTGGTTGTGCCTCAAGACACACAGAGCGAAAAAAGACAACCGACAGGGCGGCAGTGGGCCGTGGTCATGACATCACTCTCCACGGTCCCTCTGTGTGCTACATTGTTGGTCTCCATAGCTCGTGTCCTCTGTTACTTTATGACGTCACCTCTTTGTATTGTGTCTGTCTAATGGAACGCGTGATGTACACAAATGTTTTGTCTACGTATGCATGCGAAGATTGGGTCGAACAAAAATATTATCCTACATGTGCACACAGGGGATCTTGATATTAGGGTAACACCAATCACAAATTTTGACGTACCACAAATAAAATCTTCAAAAGAATAGTTTACCATGATCTTCAAGAGCACCTGCAGTGAAAGGGAAGAAGAGGATGAGAGAAGAGAAAAGTGGAGTGGTATGTATTATAACCTTCATCTGGTGGAGGTGTCAGGTTAGGGCTCTGGTCGGTGAATTTCTTCTCAAAGTAGAGAGTACTTGTCTCAGACTTGATGATGGGGGATAAAGGGAGGAGTGATCCTCTTGTTGTAACATCGTCCAGTGATGGACTCGAAGAACACATGGGATTGAACCTCATCTGCATCTCCTTCTCCTCCACCCATGTCTGCAGGATATACACATGTCCTCAATTCATTGTTCCCATCACTCTCTCTGAGTGTAACCAAACCGTTCTGTAGGATCTTTTTCCAGTGGGCTCTCAAGTAGAGACTTGGCTTCCTTGACAGGCCCAGTGGAATCTTCATCTACTTCCTGTAGTGCCGCATGTAATCATGATCCTGACACTTGTCCAAACCAAGCTAATACTTCACCTACAATGAGGTCAAAGAGAACTGCCCCACCTTCAGGAGAATAGAATGGAAATTTCCCTGACATCATTACATACATGGCCACACCCACTGCCACCAGTCCACTTCCCGCCCATTTTTCTCCCAACATCTGGGGGTGCAAGGGTACCACAGTCAACATTGACATCACATAATGATACTAAGTGAGCACAAACACACCCACCTCAGGGCCATGGAATCCTCAGAACACCACAGAGGTTCTAGTGGTGTGTGTCTAAAGTCCATGCCTTCCTTGCAGTGCCAAAGTCATGATCTTGATGTGTCCCCTGTCTCACATCAACATCAGGTTCTCTCCAACTGTCGTTGAATGAAGGTCAATATGTAAGTGCAGAGTTGATGTTTATGCCCGCGTAAGCGCTGCACGCACGTATGGCATGGAGGGTATGTAAACCTTCATATCTCGGTGGACCACTCCTCTGTCTGGAGAGGAGGCACTGGATTCCAAGAATTATCTCAGCTCCATAGAATCTGGTGAGTACTCTGGGCAATACTCCACTTTTTCCCCTACGCTACTGAGAGTGAAATTCTAGATCTCCTCCTCTCACATATTCTGTCACGAAACACAACCAGTCGGGCGTCTGGAATGAGTACTTGAGACTCTGGGCAAAGAGAGAGAAAGTAGCCATACTACGAGGACCTGAGAGAGAACATGGTGGGCGTACAACAAGGAAAGGATGAGAGGTCTTCTGCAGAATTTTATTCTCTGCTAAAGCATGGGGCAAACTTATCCTTCCTGAGTATCTTCATGGCCAGTATCTCTCCTGTTGTCTTCTCCTTACCCATCACCACCTATGGAGAAAGAAGAAGAACTCCATGGTCCAGCACTACACATCACAGTCCCCTTACCTTTGAAAATGATCCTTTTCCAAGAACCTTCACGATCCTGAAGTCCTCCATTGTCTGAAGGAAAGTGGGAAGGCATAGAGGAGATGCAATTCTATTCATGGAAGAGTAAAATTTACCTTGATAGATTGTGAGATAGGAGAAGGACCAGGAGACAAAATCTTTCCTTCGCCTCTCCCTTCCCCTACCAGTCACACCAAAGTCCTTTACGGTCTGAGGGAAAATGGAGAGGAATAGAGGGGATACAATTGAAAGAAACATTATTACTATAATAATATTATATATATACTTGAAAGTAGGAGAGGGACCAGGAGAGTAAAGTCTTGGTCTTTGAGGGACTGGAGGAGGAGTGGGTAGGCGAGAGGAAGGGTGGAGGAGAGTTGTGGGCGAGGAGGAAGGGGTGGAGGAGAGTTTTTGCCTCATCCTCATCACCATCTCCGATGAGAAGTTCTCTGACAGAATTGTCTTAACCTGCTCTGCTAATTCAATTTCTGCACTTTGGTGATTCAAGAACTCTGACAACTTCCGTTAACACTGATCTGATTCTATGAAATGATGTTTCAACTTTTGTCTATGAAAGAGGAGTTGGAAGGCATGAAACTACAAAAACTGCTATATCTAAATAGGATAACTTACTTGCTTGTTTAACAACACTTGTATATTCAGTTTTTTTCACTTCATACTTTCTGACTGGTGTGTATACATGTGGTGTCTTTTGCTGCATCAGAAATAATACAGTCCTACCCTCCTCATATTTATTATACACATTAATGACCATAACACTGAATATTAATACACAGCATTCCAACCTCCTTCCCTTTACCTAAATGTGAGTGATGTTTATATAGCTGCATACCTGGCAAGAAGTCTGTCATAAGGTACTGAGCACTACAGACCCATCCCCATTCCACTGTCTCCAGTCTGATCATCATCCTCTTCTGTCACTCCTGTGGCTGGTGACACAAAGTGAAATGAACAGTTTTGGAAGTAGGATACTGTTCTAAGGTAGTATAATTATATAGACACACAGCTGCACATTATCCTCCACTCTACAGTGGCAAACAAAACGTTTTAAAGCCATCTGGAAAGTTTTCTTCCTCTATGATTTGCATGCAGAGCTATGAGGTAATAACTACACATTTACCGTTATCTTGGATTTTCTGAACAGTATCGTTATACAGGTATGTGAAGTCAGGTGTAACGGCAGCCAAAACCATTTCTGCACAGTCAGGATGAACCCGCAACTGCACCAGAACTGAACTTTCAGCGACGCTCTCAATATACACGCCATAGGAGTGAACGGAGGCATTCTCTGCGATTGCTTCCTTTTGCTTTTGAATCTCATGAAGTGTACATTCAGAAATTTTCTTTTGGATTTTCATAGCCATTCGAGTAAATCCCCTGCAAATTTCACCATCAGGAAGAGCTGAAATGTCTTTGAGGTAGACATCAACTGTAGTGCATAGTTCAAACATATCTATCGCACTACAATACATTGTAATGCTCGTCTTCAACTTAACATCACCGAATTTTTTTACAACATGCACAATTATCTCATAGTTCGATAGTTACAGTAACGCCCAATGATGGCAAACAACTTTCGAATATTTCGGCTTGAGAATTTCATCTTCATTCTTTTCGAAAAACTTGATATGGATAGCTTTTTTCGCAACAGGAAAATTAAGAAGAAATCAGAGAAAGTCTCCAAAAATTTCTTGTCTTGTTTCTCTCTCTCAGAAAGTAATGCTCGTGTCTCGCATGTTATCTGTAAAAACTCATCTTCAAGATTTTCTATTTCAGCCTTGACCATTTCAATGCTCCTTTATTCTGTGATGGCTGGTTGGCTAACTGGTGAAGTGGTTGAAAAAATAGCTCGATTAGCGGGAAAAGTGGGGACTGGCGGTGGAAAAAGGGCAGGAAAATGAGTTGCTTCTAAGGTTTTAGCTAGTGCCGGTAGGTCGACCATCGGATTCCCGAGAGCTCCTACAATCACCCTCCATGTCGGTCTCCGCTGCACTTGCTGCAAAAACCTGATCAGAACTTTCAGCAGGTATTTGTCGGGCGGCGAGTCCTTGGAGTGGATGGCCTCCACGACGTTTTGCGGGAGTTTCAACTTGAGCCCCAGCTCGTAGGACTTGTTCTGTGCCGGCAGTAGCTCCTCCAACACGTCCACCGCATCGTCTGGTGTTAGCGTGGCGCCACCTGCATCAGCGTAAAACCCTCGTAAGCTTCTCTCCTAGCTAGGCTAGCAATGATATGTACGGTTTTTACCTTCGGCCATGAAGACGACGTCGCCCCTACCACTCAGACCGCTTTACAAAAGAGGGGCGGGGCTTGGCTATCGCAGCAAATCCTCGGCGGATTGCGCATGCGCGATACTGCTAATTGATGGGCTGGGCTATTTGTACTCGCGGTCTCCAGCTAGTAGCTCGCGGAGAGTCTGACACGGGCTAGCTACAGTAGTAGATAACATGCGGGAGTCGATACATGCCATTCGTTTTGACTTCCTGAGCCCCCAAGGTACACAGAGCGAGCGGATCAGGTCGCTGTAAGCCCAGTGCGATTATGCATATTGCATTTTTTGCTTTGTTTTAACAGAATATCTCTCGAGCGCAGTCATTTCAGGAAAATCGCTCTTTTACTTTTCAGGCTCGCGTAGTTCTGAAGCCGCTGCTATCGCTTATACGCCGCCTCGTAGCCTGTAGTGCCAGAATAAGCGTCGACACACAAGACAGAACGACTACAGTAACCCTCGCCGAGGGTTAAAGGTTCCGGAGAATTGTGCGTGGGCGTACGTTTCAGATTTTTTTCAATAGCACAGCTAAAACGCCATTTAGGTATTATTTCTCGAATTTTTTCTTATATACCTTGTTTTCCAAACTTATTAGCATATTCATATTCCTCCTCCATACATTCTCTATGGGAGAGAAAACTCATGCGCGACTCACCCAGGAGCGAACGGTCCGTCTCCATTATGCGCAGTGGTACGCGGGAAGAAAGGTCAACGTGAAAACGTAATGCTCAAAACTTGGCCACGCCTATTTTTCGGGATGGCGCCTGCGCGTGCCGCAGGAGGCAGAAAGAACGCCATTGCGCATAATGGAGACGAACCGTTCGCTCCTGGGTGAGTCGCGCATGGGTTTTCTCTCCCATAGACAATTTATGGAGGAGGAATATGAATATGCTAATGAGTTTGGAAAACAAGGTAGGAAAAATCCGAGAAATATACCTAAATTCTACGAGGCGCCGTGTTCTAAAACTCATTCTCCAAAAACGCATATATAGGTAATATGTGCACTATATTATATATATAAATTTGCTGCAATATTTAGGATATGTACGACGGCATTTATAAATCGACCATGACATTTATAAATCGACCAGGAAATGAAACTGCATAGCCAAGGGCGGGTGTGGCGTGCGCATGCGAAAACCCTTTTTATGGAATTATGCACTCAAGCGTCCGTGTCAATTACATCCAGTGGAATCATAAATGTCACGGTCGATATATAAATGTCATGGTCGATTTATAAATGTCATGGTCGATTTATAAATGTCGTCGTACATATCCTAAATATTGCAGCAAATTTATATATAGTGGACATATTACCTATGTATTTTTAGAGTTTTGGAACAAACGGCGCCCCGTAAAATTTACCATAAATCACTAGCGTTTTTGCCCACGCACAATTCTCCTGAATAGTCCGAGTGGGCGTGGCTATTTTCCCACTGAAAGATGGCCGACTACGGCGAGCCTCAGGAGATCACAGCGCTTCGCACCAATATTACCTCCCTCACTGACACGGTGACGGTCGGAGACAATCTACAGTGGTTTTCAAACTGCCTCGTGGAGAAAGCCTTCGTTGCTCAGAGGGCCGCGCAGGCAATCCTCGGCGGCGGAGCCACGCCCGCGCACAAGGCCCGTCAGCTTATTGACGGTGTTTTCGCTGTAATCCGAACGTCGGACAGGAAGAGCCACAGGTTTGCTGAGTTCGTATCTATTTTCTCCACCGACCTAGCCTACGCAGAGCTAGTCGAGAAACTGAAACGCCACGTCGGCCAAACAAACCAGCAACAGCTACAACCTCCCATTCCAGCCAGCCTCTCCGCTAGTTCATCTCTACACGTTCCTGCGTCTTTGGGCACCACGCTAGGTTCAACCACTGAGCGAGGTGACAGATCACCGCCGAAAAGTATAAATGCAGATGCTTCACGGTGTCCAAATACATCTTTGCTCTACTCTAGGAGAATGGCTGCCTCTTCTAGAATGTCGCTATCAGACGTCGTGGCTGCTCTTGACGCACTCACCATTGAACAGACCAAAGAACTTGCGGTTCGTTTCGGAGTTGAGCTCAAAACTGTTCAGGACATTGAGAATGAGTACAAAGGCAGCAGTCGTAAGATCCTCACCATCCAGGCCTGGCTAGACCAAGACACCCAGGCCAGCTGGGGAAAGTTAGTCTCTGGCCTCCAAAACATCAAGATGAACAGTCTTGCAAAGCAAGTGGCCTCCCAGCATTGTCTCCAGTCACCTGGAGCTGCCAGTCCTTCCACTGATGGTCACCAGCCAGCCACAGTCCGGTCTGTGGCCACACCAGCTCCGCTGACTCCTGCTGCTCCCTCTCCTCCTCCTCCTTCAACTGATCCCAACCAGCCCACCTCTCCACCTCCTAGTGATCGCTACCAGCCTGTGGCTCCTCCAGCCACTGCACCAGCCACTGGTTCTGAGGAGTCTCCTATCCCATCATCCTCCACCACATCCTCTTTATCTCCTGTCCCACCTCCACCCACTCCCCACAACCCTTCCACCTCATCCTTCTGGAGTCCTGAGAAGGTCAAGGCCACCATTCAGGAGCTGGAGGCAAAGTTCCTTGACCTCAATACTGATGCCGAGGAAGAAATTTGTGAAAAGGAGGCTCGAGACAAGAGTTTCTCAGAAAGTTTCGCAAATACCTTCAACTTCTGCCGGCTGCAAAGAAGGCACCTCATGTCAAGTTCTTCCGTGAATGTGAGCAGGAAATTCTCGGTGCCAAAGATGCTCTGGCAATTCTCGCCATTCTCTGTCGCTACATTGATTACCGCAACTACGAGATTCTGTGTGACATAGTCCTCAAGTTCTGTGGCCCTCCACTGCAGACCAGCATGCAGGACTACTGCAAGATGTTGGAGGTGTTTGAAACCTCTACATCAGTCGACGTGTACATCAGCACTGTTCCAGATGAGGTGACAGAAGACCAGAAGAAAGCATTCTCTAAAATGGTTGTGAAGATTGACAAGCCTGCGTCGCAGTGTACACTGCATGATGTTCGAAAGCTCAACGAAGCAATCGTTGCAAATTCAGGTCTCTGTCCTCACAGTGTGTACATCAGTGGAGTGGCCAACAAGTGTGTGGAGGTGGTGGTGAGGTTTCCTCCCAGTGTGGTGGGCTGGGTGCTGTCAGCTCTGACCCCCCACTTCATGACCTCCCACCATCTATCAGAGGTGACTGTGAATGGCAGCCAACTCACCCTCCTACAAGACTTCAGATATAACCTGGTATGTAGATGTGTACTTATGTGCATTTTATTTAGAAGGGGGTTTTGTGATGAAGTACCAAACAATACATTGAACACTGATCAAGAGTTTGTTTTGGAAGCCTTCAAAACGAAAATTTGCGAGTATTAGTATGGTTTAGCATTTAACAGTTTGGTAGCTAGCTACTGTGTGTGACAATTTGTCGAAGGCTCAGGTGAACTTTCGGCGTGCAAGTGATACAGTTATGTGTGTTTATAGCAGCAGCCCTGACATCGCTGCAGTGAACGTTTTCAGCTTAGTATTAAAACGCTGACGCATCTCCGTATGTTGTAAGAGAAGGTACATAGAACATAATATTACTGTTGCTTTCTCCGCATGTGCATTTACCAGTACACTTACACAAGTATGCAATTCCTTTTGCATCCAGGGTTTGTACATTAATGTCTCTCATTACGTTTATAAGGAAATACTAGCACGTTAGCACTTGCATGTACTCTGAAAAATCTTCACATCTCGCTCCCGGTCTCATGTTTGGTAGGCTGAAAATAGGAATGTGTGATGAGTGTGTAAGTGAGGAGAGGAATAAAGGTAGAAAGAAATCAATCTGGGGCATTCGAACCTTGCTTCCCCGGCAAGTGCACTACCACTGTGCTATACGAATGCCACGGATGGTAGGCAATGAAAATGAGTATATACTCTGCCGCAAGATCATTGTGCAAAAACTTTGTTCACCGGGTTCACTTATTATAGAGTTATTGTTGCTCTAAAGAATGATGAGCTGATTGCAGCTGCTGGTAGAGAAGGAGATGTGATGCGAGTTGTGTCTCTTCTCAACAGTGGAGCTGATATTCAGACTGAGGACCAAGTATGTTACATTATAATCACTAAGAAGTTCCAAAGTCACGCACAGAGCAGCAACCCACCTTTTATCACCTACGTGCTTCTTATGTCTTAGTGTAAGCACAGCAAAAGAATAATAATGGCATTAATTTTTTGTTAGTTCCGCACATCATGATACTGCTGTCTTGGTTCTCACTAGTCACGGACTCCATTGCAATGGGCTAGTCAGTATGGTCATCTCCAAGCGGTCCGTCTTCTGATATCAAGAGGAGCTCAGCTCAACCACCAGGATGAGGTAAGACAGTTTCTGAGGGTGAACCCTTCCACTGATGATCATGTCATTACTAAGCAATACTTGTGCAGGTTGGAAACAGCACCACATGCGCATGTGTGGGTGTCAATGTCTAAGTCACATGGCTGAAAAAGCCTCTGAATTTTATTTCTCGGAAGTCATTATTATAATATCAATGTGTCCCCTTTTCAGAGATTTTGCTGGTGCAACTTCCCTCTACATTCTCTCTCCTCCCACTAGGTGGCTTATAATTGCTCCTCCATACGTACATTCTTAACAGGAGAAAAAAGCAGTGCTTGACTTCACCCAGAGCAAACGGTTCCTCGTCATTACGTGCAGTGGCATTTTGCTACTATGATATGTTATACGCAGACGATGTCTATAATATGGTCCTACGGTATAATTATACAGGACCACAGAAAATGGGTGGTTCTGAGCATTACGTATTTTTCTGACAACTCATTGGACATTTTTCCAACATGGCCTATCTTATATCACGCAGGTTGGGACTTCTGCTTTGACTCAAGCAGCCAGGCATGGTCATACTAATATTGTTGTGGAGCTGGTGAAGGCAGGAGCCAAGTTGGACCTACAGATTAAGGTATGAAACTACATTAGCCACTCGTACCCCTCTCAGAAAAATGAGCAGCCCTGACAAACATGCACACTTATTGTCACAAAAATACATAGATTTTCTGTGATGTATGGACTTGTTACGGTGTGTTGTTATATTAGCGTGTGTTGTTAACCCTCGGCGCGCATGCGCAGCGAGTGTTACAGTAGAGTTGGGTTTGTCTGTCTGTTTGTCTGTTTGTCTGTTACTCTCAATCTCACTTCTCGGGTGTCTGTTCGTCACAGAAACGATACCATCTACCCAACAGGCGACGAAGGTCAGAAAATATGTGGGGTTTTCTCTGAAAATGCTCCGTTGCAGAGCTAGAGCGCTTCCACTATTGTACGGCTAATGCGTAGTCGGCCATTTTTATCGCTGCGGAAAATGCGCATGCGCTTATATCCTCGACCGGGTCCGCTTGCTCTGTGTATCTTGAAGGCACAAGAAGTCACAACGAAGGGCGTGTATCGACTCTCGCATACTACCTACTACTGTAGCTAGCCCGTGTATTGCATCACCATTGCTGTATGTTCTGTATACTATGTATCGTGTGTATTCCTGGTAGTTGTACGCATGTCATGACATCATCCTACACATTATATAGATTAGTGGGTTGTGCTTTGGCTTTGGGCCTTGTGTATTGATTTGAGCAGAAACAACTCGATCCTGCCCACGCCAGCGCGAGGACGTTACATTTTCACCACAGACATTTAGTAAACTAGCTATAAGTTACGAGAAAACTTGTTTTCACACAGAGTAAATTCTCCTGCCACTGTGTCTTATCTCCTCCAAACTCTCTCTAGTTGAAACTGGAGTCAAAATTCACTTCAGGGTCTGAAGCTACACTTGCCACTCCTCCTCTTTGTCATAATCTTTAGAAATCTATTCTCATCTCTCCACAGAATGGAGACACAGCAGTCATAATAGCTGTAAAGAGACATGATCCAGCCACTCTGAGGGAGCTAGTAAGGGCAGAGAGTGACCTCAACCTCCAGAACCAGGTGAGATACACAGCTACTGTGGACACTGCACCACATACCATCCCCAGTCTTCCATTATAGGAGGGACTCACTCCACTAATGATAGCTGCCAGGAGTTGGAGAACTGACATTACTAACATTCTACTGGAGGGAGAAAACATCAACCTGGACATTCAGGAGAAGGTGAGCACCCACAGAGCAATGGGTGAAGCCAGCAGTATAAATCTATGGCTACCCCCTGAGTTGCTGTAACTACTCTCTCATAATGCAGGGAACAGGATGGTCAGCCCTCCATATCTCTGCCGAGACAGGATACTCAGCTACCACAGTAGCACTGCTCAAGGCAGAAGCTAATGCTCACCTCAAAACAAGGTTTGGGAATCTACAACAACACTTACTTTCTCCTCCATGGGCCAACCTAGTCCATTTTAGTTTCACTGCGTGGTTAAGGTGCCTCTTTAGACATGCACAGTCTGGTTACCTGTAGCGTGTGCTAGGAATTCGTTTACGGCGAAGCTAAATTGCGGTCGGGCATGCCCCTACCCCCTTGTTGCAGAGTGAGTCGTCGACCTGGGAGTGCGCAACGGACCCAATGCTCGCGCAGGGTATGCAAGTTCCTTCACACTCTCTCTAGTTAACCCTTGCCTCACATGCGCAGCGAGGGTTACAGTAGTTGGTTTGTCTGTCTCTGGCTGTGTGTGTGTGCGTGTGTGTGTGGTTTGTTTGTCGACGCTTATTCTGGCAGGCTACGAGGCGGCCTATTAGCGATACCAGCGGCTTCAGAACTACGCGAGCCTGAAAAGTAAAAGGGCGATTTTCCTGAAACGACTGCGTTTGAGAGATATGCCGTGAAAACAAACGAAAAAGCCAATTATGCATAATCACACTGGGCTTACCGTGACCTGATCCGCTCGCTCTGTGTACCTTGGGGGCTCAGGAAGTCACAACAAATGGCATGTATCGACTCCCGCATGCTATCTACTACTGTAGCTAGCCTGTGTCAGACACAGCTCCGCGAGCTATATACAGCGGGAGACCACGAGTACAAATAGCCCAGCCCATCAATTAGCAGTATCATGCACGCGCAGTTTGCGGAGGGTTTGCACTTCAGTGCTTTTCATTTGAACTTGAGTCAGAATCCTCTTCTTGGTCTGAAGCTCCATACACATCTCAGACTCTTCGTGTCTGCTATGGGGTGGTATTCGTGTCAGTATTTCAAACGTCGATTTTGCCAAGGCATTTCCGTTTTGCCGCGGCAAAATTAAACTGCCGCGGCAATTGCCCCGGCAAAACCTGGGCCGAAAAATCCGGGACATTTGCCGCGGCAAAGAATAACTAGCTGGGCCATGTTCAATCGTGTCAGTATTCTTGTCGTTGCCGGCCTTTTGCCTGCGGCAATCTACTTGCCGCGGCACAATATTTGGCGCGGTGGTCACATGCTAGGCTCAGCTTCATAGCTAGAGATTCGGCCAGGGAGAGCCGGCGCTGGCCCCCGAGGCGCTGGCCCCCGAGGCTGGAGAGAGAACTAGGTTTCTGCCTTCATGGATACGCTGGTATCTTTGTAGCGATTTAGACCGCGCTGTTCAAGTTAGTGGTGACCACCGCCCCCCGGCCCGCCCCATCCCCACCCACCCGCGGTGCCAGTCGTCATCTAGTGTGCTCGATCCGCTCGCTGCTGCCGCGCCAAATATTGTGCCGCGGCAAAAGGCCCGGCAACGACAAGAATACTGACACGATTGAACATGGCCCAGCTAGTTATGGCAAATGTCCCGGATTTTTCGGCCCAGGTTTTGCCGGGGCAATTGCCGCGGCAGTTTAATTTTGCCGCGGCAAAACGGAAATGCCTTGGCAAAATCGACGTTTGAAATACTGACACGAATACCACCCCATAGTCTGCAGACATGTAGTTATCTATTCCTTCTCATCTCTCCACAGAATGGAGACACAGCAGTCATAATAGCTGTAAAGAGTTGTCATCCAGCCACTCTGAGGGAGCTAGTGAGGGCAGGGAGTGACCTCAACCTCCAGAACCAGGTGAGATACACAGCTACTGTGGACACTGCACCACATATCATCCCCAGTACTCCATGTTAGGAGGGACTCACTCCACTAATGATAGCTGCCACGAGTTGGAGAACTGACATTACTAACATTCTACTGGAGGGAGAAAACATCAACCTGGACATTCAGGAGAAGGTGAGCACCCACAGAGCAATGGGTGAAGCCAGCAGTATAAATCTATGGCTGCCACCTGAGTTGCTGTAACTACTCTCTCATAATGCAGGGAACAGGATGGTCAGCCCTCCATTTCTCTGCTGAGACAGGAAACTCAGCTACCACAGTAGCACTGCTCAAGGCAGGAGCTAACCCTCGCCTCAAAGACAAGGTTTGGGAATCTACTACAAACCCTTACTAGGCTGGGCAAATAGTATAATAATTATGTGTTTACTCGTGGTCTCCCGCAAGTAGCTCGCAGAGAGTCTGACACGGGCTAGCTACAGTAGTAGTAGCATGAGGTGATACACGCCATTTGTTGTGACATGCCTCCAAGGTACACAGACCAGGTCGAGGTAAGCCTGTGCTAATTTGCACATTGGCTTGTTAACTTGCTTTTCACACCATAACTTTCTGTCTGTTAAAGGGTGTCATTAGCATCCCCTTTGCACATTGCTTGTGTGCTGCTCCTTCCCTTTTTGAAACTTGAGTCTAATCCACTTTTCGAAGCTACACTTGCAGCTCTCAGACATAATCTGCGGAAATCTATTCACATCTCTCCACAGAATGGAGACACAGCAGTCATAATAGCTGTAAAGAGACATGATCCAGTGACTCTGAGGGAGCTAGTAAGGGAAGGTAGTGACCTCAACCTCCAGAACCAGGTGAGATACACAGCTACTGTGGACACTGCACCACATACCATCCCCAGTCTTCCATATTAGGAGGGGCTCACTCCACTAATGATAGCTGCCAGGAGAGGGATGGCTGACATTACTAAAATTTTACTGGAGGGAGAACACATCATGGACATTCAGGAGAAGGTGAGCACTCCCAGAGCAATGGGTGGAGCCAACTGTCTATGGCTGTCACCTGAGTTGCTGTAACTACTCTCTCATAATGCAGGGAACAGGATGGTCAGCTCTCCGTTTCTCTGCTGAGAGAGGATACTCAGCTACCACAGAAGCACTGCTCAAGGCAGGAGCTAATGCTCACCTCAAAGACAAGGTTTGGGAATCTACAACAACACTTACTTTCTCCTCCATGAGCCAACCTAGTCCATTTTAGTTTCACTGCGTGGTTAAGGTGCCTCTTTAGACATGCACAGTCTGGTTACCTGTAGCGTGTGCTAGGAATTCATTTACGGCGAAGCTAAATTGCGGTCGGGCACGCCCCTACCCCCTTGTTGCATAGTGAGTCGTCAACCTGGGAGTGCGCAACGGACCCAATGCTCGCGCAGGGTATGCAAGTTCCTTCACACTCTCTCTAGTTAACCCTCGCCACATATGCGCAGCGATAGTTGGTTTGTCTATCTGTCTGTCTGTCTGTCTGTCTGTGTGTGAGTGTTTGGTATGGGTTAAGAAGAGAAAGGAAGGAAAGAGTTGTGGGGAACGAGGTGTAGTGACAGAGACCGGGTGGACTTGTCGGCGTCATCAAAGCACCAGGCCACCAGACATAGACTCAGGCTGTGCATGGAGTTACAAACCGCAGTGTGCTTCCACATACTATTTGGTGCATGTGCCCACTATTTATCCCCAAACCTAACAGCTAGCAAACCCTGTCTCTCTGTCTTGTCTGTCTGTCATTTATTTAATGCACCAGTCATCAGGGGAGCTCCTCAGCAGATCATCGTGTAGGTCACAGGTTTCGGTCCCTTTAATCTTCCGACCTGTGCCTCACTAGTCACTACCGCTGAGGCGGGACCACTCCCACATAACGGAGTCTGGTATGTACGCAGTCCTGTCGATTTGTATTGCTAAGCTTTTAGTTTGTCATGTTGTAGTTCCGGTTTTTCTAAGTCCTATTTTAGGTTGTGACAGTAAAAGAAGGTAGTATGCACGCACAGGAAGTTTACCTACATTCTTACTGCCTTGTTGTGACAGGATTAGACAAGATACACATACCTGCCTTGGGTCATATATACACCTGCTGCGTGGAGTAGTAAAATACCAATAATTGCGTGGGCAACTGAGCATGCGCGTGGCTTTTACTACAATTGGATGGCAGAGGTGATTTTTAACCCTCGGCGCGCAAGCGCAGCGAGGGTTACGGTAGTTGGTTTGTCTGTGTGTGTGTGTGTGTGTGTGTGTGTCTGTCCACGACTATTCTCGCACTACAGGCTACGAGGCGGCCTAAGAGCAATACCAAATGCTTCAGTGCTACAAGCGAATGAAAATAAATGCCGATTTTTCTGAAACGACAGCGTTCGAGCGCGAGAAACTGGCACAGTCCCAGACCACCTAGCGTGGCCCAACCCATCATTAGTGGTGCGCATGCGTATTGATTATTGGCATGTGCTTACCGCTACCTGGTCCGCTCACTCCTGTGTACCTTGGGGGCTCAGGAAGTCACAACGAATGGCATGTATCGACTGCCGCATGCTATCTACTTCTGTAACTAGCCCGTGTCACACTCTCTGCGAGCTACTAGCGGGAAACCACGAGTAACGCACACAAATAGCCCGCCCACCAATGCGCATGCGCAGTTCGCCGAGGGTTTGCACTTTAGTGCTTTTCATTTACTCTGATTGTGTGTGTGTGTCGACGCTTATTCTGGCACTACAGGCTACGAGGCGGCCTATTAGCGATACCAGCGGCTTCAGAACTACGCGAGCCTGAAAAAAAGGGCGATTTTCCTGAAACGACTGCGTTCGAGTGATATGCCGTGAAAACAAACGAAAAAGCCAATTATGCATAATCACACTGGGCTTACCGTGACCTGATCCGCTCGCTCTGTGTACCTTGGGGGCTCAGGAAGTCACAACAAATGGCATGTATCGACTCCTGCATGCTATCTACTACTGTAGCTAGCCCGTGTCAGACACAGCTCCGCGAGCTATATACAGTGGGAGACCACGAGTACAAATAGCCCAGCCCATCAATTAGCAGTATCGTGCATGCGCAGTTTGCCGAGAGTTTGCATTTCAGTGCTTTTCATTTGAACTTGAGTCAGAATCCTCTTCTTGGTCTGAAGCTCCATGATATCTCAGACTCTTCGTGATAATCTGCAGACCGGTAGTTATCTACAAGTGGAAAAATCATTTCTTCAAAATGAAAAGGGGATATAGGATGGCTTGAAGCACCAAAAAGAAAGAAACAAGGAGTCATTACACAGCAAAGATGCACAAAGCTACATGACACCATCCCTATATCTTTGTGTCATAGCTACTTTCCTTATGACCAATAAAACAAAGATATAGGGATGCACTATTTTTTAACGGGTTATGACATCACTGAATTTTTAGTCACTCTGATGTTCATGGGTATGTTGTAGAGATAACTTTTGCAGTTTATAGCTAATGGGCTGCTGGTACCTGAAGCAGGGCGTATGCGTAGTGTCTCCAACAAGGACGCAATTAGGTTGTGGCTCATGCATATGGTGGTCGTTTCATGGGCAGGCTTCAGTAATCAGACTACAATGCATAGGCGTAGGAAGGATAATGTGGGTGGGGGGGGCCAGGTTTAGCCATAAGGCTAGCAAACTTTAAGCATTCCTAGCCGGCTGGCCGATGAGCATACGCGCGCGGCGTACGCAAAAACCCATTCGGAGCATGCGCAGTGCGGGGCTATCGGGCGCCCCTGCCCCCCCGTTTCCGACGCCTATGCTATAAATAAACCTGGCAGACAAAGAATTAACGCTCATTTGTATGCCCGACAAGGCTCTAACACCACGCAGACTGCCAAGTTGCTCCTCGTGCAAATCAACAGCAAAACGCAAGCTATCCAGTTATAAATGTGTATACTGACTTACAGAAGGCACTGGAGGATGAGAGTTCCTCTGCAGGCATCCTAGCTTAGTCTGGTTTACTACTAGTAATGCGCGCACCGTATTGGAAACGCCCTCCTCCGCGCATGCGGATCACTGATGCTGAGTTGGCAGCAAATGGCGTTGTTCAGTGACTACTGAGGAAGAGCTCAACCATCTACCGTAGTGACTTGCGACAAGAAATAAACGATCGCTTGATATCCGTGCACACCTCCGGCTAAATTGGAGGCGTTCTGTAAAAAAATCAACGCTTCAACTGCTTTCAGTAAGGTCTGAAGAAGAAGAAGAAGAATATTATAATGATGACACGAAAATCACGAAAACACGTAAGAGCGAATCCTCTCGTGGGGAACTGAGGGCACGTAGGGAGTCTTGGGGCATATGTATAACTAGGTATTGGTCTCTAGACTATTGCTAGTGATTTTGAAGCCATGGTGAGCGATTCTCGCCGAGTTATGAGACGCGGATCACGTGAGATTTCACTTGTGTCATCCCTATATATAGAGAGTCTACCGACTCTCTGATTCCTTCTCATCTCTCCACAGAATGGAGACACAGCAGTCATAATAGCTGTAAAGAGATGTCATCCAGCCACTCTGAGGGAGCTAGTGAGGGCAGGGAGTGACCTCAACCTCCAGAACCAGGTGAGATACACAGCTACTGTGGACACTGCACCACATATCACCCCCAATACTCCATGTTAGGAGGGACTCACTCCACTAATGATAGCTGCCAGGAGTTGGAGAACTGACATTACTAACATTCTACTGGAGGGAGAAAACATCAACCTGGACATTCAGGAGAAGGTGAGCACCCACAGAGCAATGGTGAAGCCAGCAGTATAAATCTATGGCTGCCACCTGAGTTGCTGTAACTACTCTCTCATAATGCAGGGAACAGGACGGTCAGCCTTCCATTTCTCTGCTGAGACAGGAAACTCAGCTACCACAGTAGCGCTGCTCAAGGCAGGAGCTAATCCTCGCCTCAAAGACAAGGTTTGGGAATCTACTACAAACCCTTACTAGGCTGGGCAATTAGTATATGTGTTTACTCGTGGTCTCCCGCAAGTAGCTCGCAGAGAGTCTGACACGGGCTAGCTACAGTAGTAGTAGCATGCGGGAGGTGATACAATGCCATTTGTTGTGACGTGCCTCGAAGGTACACAGAGCAAACGGACCCGGTCGAGGTAAGCCTGTGCTAATTTGCACATTGGCTTGTTCACTTGCTTTTCACACCATAACTTTCTGTCTGTTAAAGGGTGTCATTACTCTCTCCCTTTGCACATTGCTTGTGTGCTGCTCCTTCCCTACCCTCTTTGCCATAATCTGCGGAAATCTATTCACATCTCTCCACAGAATGGAGACACAGCAGTCATAATAGCTGTAAAGAGACATGATCCAGCCACTCTGAGGGAGCTAGTGAGGGCAGGGAGTGACCTCAACCTCCAGAACCAGGTGAGATACACAGTTACTGTGGACACTGCACGACATATCATCCCCAGTCTTCCATATTAGGAGGGGCTCACTCCACTAATGATAGCTGCCAGGAGAGGGATGGCTGACATTACTAAAATTCTACTGGAGGGAGAATACATCAACCTGGACATTCAGGAGAAGGTGAGCACTCCCAGAGCAATGGGTGGAGCCAACTGTCTATGGCTGTCACCTGAGTTGCTGTAACTAATCTCTCGTAATACAGAGAATTGGACAGTCGGCTCTCCATTTCTCTGCTGTGATAGGAGACGCAGCTACCATAGAAGAACTGCTCTTGGCAGGAGCAAATCGTCACATCAAAGACAAGGTTTGGGAATCTACAACAACCCTTACTTTCTCCTCCACGAGCCCACCTATATAGTCCATTTTAGTTTCACGGCAGGGTGCTTTTATTTTATTGGTCGTTTCTTTTCTCTATTGGTGAAGAATGGGGTAACAGCAACGGAGATTACTGAACAAAGAGCTCAATATGGCCTTGAGTCCGAGACATTGGCAATGGGAGAGATGATGAGTCAGGTATGTATGCTATAGCAAATTTATCAGAGCGCTAGGTACATAATGTCTCATAAGCCAAATTTCCTGATTTCCAGGGCTCAGGTAAACACAAATAGCCGATCTAAATACGTATAATTATGTATTGTTATAAACGGCATGGAGATAGATGACAGTTGGTTAGCCATAAGCGAGTTTGAATAATTGGAGAGCGGGAGCGAGCCAACCTAGTCGTTCGTTCGAGCGGAATTTTCTGTGTATATATATATATATATAATATACTAGTAGGCGAATGCATGGCATTTTTGGCGAGCGGAAGCGAGCTTACAAATGGGGTCTAATCGTATGAGTCACTCTTGTGTGTGCACAAAACACATTGCACAGGACCAAGTAGGCCGAAACAACCTTTTAGACCCGAGCGCAGTAGACAATTCGAGTCGAGTCAAAAACAGTCAGACGACAGCGCGAATCAGGCATAATCCGGCAAGCTCTCGCTGGACTGTGCAGCAATTCTCGATAGCTTCGGAGGTTCGAGCCTGCCGTGTTGCGTTTCCCCTGATTCCGCTCGATTCAGGCAGCATATGAAAATTTTGAAATCCCTTTCGTATAAAAAGAAGCGCGTAATGCTGGAGCATGCGCAGTTGGACGACGTACGGTGACATATATATTATATATATTATTATTGGCGAGCGGAAGCGAGCTAACCTAGTGGTCCGAACGGCGCGATTTTTCTATATAATATATATATATGTGTGTCACCGTACGTCGTCCAACTGCGCATGCTCCAGCATTACGCGCTTCTTTTTATCCGAAAAGGATTTCAACATTTTCATAATGCTGCCTGAATCGAGCGGAATCAGGGGAAACGCAACACCTCCGAAGCTATCGAGTATTGCTGCACAGTCCAGCGAGAGATTTTTTCTACATTGCCACTTGTTCCCTATTCCTGCAAGACCAATCAGATTGCCGGATTATGCCTGATTCGCGCTGTCGTCTGACTGTTTTTGACTCGACTCGAATTGTCTACTGCGCTCGGGTCGTTTCGGCCTACTTAGTCCTGTGCAATGTATCTCACTGTTTTGTGCACACACAAGAGTGACTCATACGATTAGACCCCAATTGTAAGCGCGCTTCCGCTCGCCAAAAAATGCCATGCATTCGCCTACTAGTATATAGAAAAATCGCGCCGTTCGGACCACTAGGTTAGCTCGCTTCCGCTCGCCGCGCCAATAATTATGCGTTCGTATATACGTCGTGTAAGTGCGCATGCGCGGCTTTGTACGCGCTTCTTTTTATCCGAAATTATTTCCAACCTTTTACACATTTTCACACACATGCCTCGCGATATGCGCCGATCTAGCCAGCCAGAGAACTCTCCTCTATTCGACGGCATGCTCTGCAACCTTTGGTGACTGAGCGAGGCTGTACCTCTTTCCAGTCTTCGTGGTTCCAAGCTGCGAATACGCTAGCATTGCTCGTGCACATACTGCTGCATGCCAGCTACATGATGGACGTTGTCGGGCAGCCCGATCGATCGCTGCCTAGCCTACTGCCATGCCAGCTGCCTGGTGGACCACGACAGACAAGCTGAAAGCGTGAGTTAAGGACCGTTCTGCTCACCTGCTCACCGTTCTGGCAATATACAATACGCATGTAACGGCGACAGGTAGATCTGTCTTGCTTCACGAAAGGAAAGCTGTGCGCTGACGGCACGTTATGCAGCCCGAACATCGCAGACAAATCCCAAGTTGGGTCGCTCCTGCTCGCCAACAATGTTCAACATTTCCACTAGTATGGGTTACACTGTATCTTTAATTCCCATGCAGAGTGCTATGAGACAACTCAAGTCGGAGAGCAAAGATATTGAAGGAGATGATACTAGTTCATCATGTAAGATTTTGTAATCATCTGTCACCATAATTGGCGAGCGGGAGCGAGCCAACCTATATAGTCGTTCGTTCGAGCCGATTTTTTTATTTATCGTCGTTCGTACGTCGTGTAAGTGCGCATGCGCGACTTTGTTGCATATACGCGCTTCCAAATGTTTACACATACATACGCACACCGCGGTGCCTCGCGATATGCCCCGATCGATCTAGACTACTATATAGCCAGCGAGAGAACTCTCCTCCATTCGACGGCATGCACTGCAACCTTCGGTGACTGACCGAGGCTGTAGCTCTTCCCAATCTTCACGGTTCGAAGGTGCGACTTGCTAGGATTGCTCGTGCACATACTATACTGCAGCTGCATGCCAGCTGCCTGGTGGACCACGACTGACGAGCTGAAAGCGCGCGTAAGGTAAGTACCATTCTGCTCACCTGCTCAAAGTTCTGCCAATGTACAATACGCATGTAACGGCGACAGGTAATCTGTCTTGCTTCACGAAAGGAAAGTTGTGCGCTGACGGCACGTTATGCAGCCCGAACATCGCGGGCAAATCCCAAGTTGGATCGCTCCCGCTCGCCGCGCCAACAATGTCCACTATACTAGTAGATAGTGTATTGTTATTGCATTGTCCGTGTATGATCACGAGACGTCACGTGTGATGATGTCTAGCTAGCTTGAGACACGCGACGAGACCGCGTGTGTGTGTGAGCAAGCGGCTATCGAAGTGTACTAGCCAGGAGTCGGTAGGCCGTTACAATCGCTCGCACGTCTCAAGTTAAAAGAACAATAGCTCGAGTCTTAGGGCAAAGATCCCACAGCAGGATGTTTTTTCTTCACCAAGCCGCCAAGATGCTGCATCTTTTTTAGGCCCCAGCCTGCACAACCTTCACAGTCACACCTAAATTCCTACAAGCATGCCGTGCAGGGCGAAAGCTCTTTCGTCACCCAGCCTGTGAAAAAAAAGAAAAGTTGAGAATACTGTACTTCAATGCAAGAAGCTTACTCCCCAAACTAGATGAACTCCGTGCTATAGTGGAAGCTGAGACACCTGCATTACTGAAACATGGCTTTCAGAAGAGATCAGCAATGTAGAATTGAGCATACCAAACTATCACATATTCAGACTTGACAGAAATCGGCATGGTGGTGGAGTCCTTGTATATCTACTTCTAGTTTCTCAGCAAAGGTCATACTAGCAGGTCCTAGTGATCTTGAATTAATCGTTTTTTTCTGTATCATGCAGAAATATAGCTTACTGTATAGGTGTATTTTACAGACCACCTTCTTCAGTTACAGATATTTTTGACAGGTTGTGTTTTGCTTTAAGTTCCCTAGACTCGATATATCTTTCTTGTTTCGTACTTGTAGGTGACTTTAATGTAAACTATTTTCTTACTATTGTATAACTCGTTTTTGTATAGGCAATTAGAACTCTGTCTCTTACCATTTAACACAATACATCTGCAATTCACAATAACTCACGTGGTCCTGAATCACTGATTGACCTGGTATATCTCTCAAAATCATCTTTTTTATGTTCATGTGATGTCATCCCCTGGCAAACTCTGATCACAATGGCCTGCTTACAGAAGCCCAGTGCTACTCCAGAGTCACCTGCAAGAATTGTCTGGAACTATGCAAAAGCCGACTTTTGTAAAGCGAGATATCTTATCGACCACACTGACTGGAAATCTGTGATGAGTGAAGATGTCAATGCTTCACTCGTGAAATGGCAGACTGCTTTTTAGCATCATGCAAAGATGCATTCCCAAAGCAGTGCTGCGCCCAAGAAAAAATCTTCCCTGGCTAACAAAGCAACTAATCCAGGCCACTAAGAAAAAGAAGGTTCTCTTTCAGAAAGCTAGGCGAACTGGTCATGGAACTGACTATGTAAGCTACAAAAGGTTCCGAAATAAGCTCACTAGCATCCTGAGACTCTCTAAACAGAAATGCCTAAAGGGACTCAGGTCATTTGACAAAAAAGATTTTGGAAGGCTGTGAAAAATCAGCGGAAAACATCTATATTCCGACCCTTTCTGAAGATGGTACCAATGCTTCATCAAACTATGAAAAGGCTAAAATGTTAAACCGTTTCTTCTCAAAGTGCTTTAATTATTCTGTTCCACCTCTGAGCTTTGTCGATTATGATGATCTCGGTGCTGTAGAGCTCACTGATATAGATGATATTCTTTGTACAGTAGAATAATGTCGAACACCATCTGTTACAAATGGACACTTCCAAGGCAAATGGCCCTGGTGGTATTTCTGCTAGGATGTTAAAAGAAACTGCAAAAAGTATAGTACCTTCCGTCACTGACATATTCAACCTGTCACTGCAAACAGGCTGCTTTCCAACAGTTTGGAAAACATCACATGTAGTGCCTATACCCAAATCAGACGACTGTGCTAGTCCCTCAAACTACCGATCAATATCATTGTTATCCATTCTCAGCAAAGTATTTGAACGCCATGTACATTGCCTAATCACCGAGCACCTGTCCCTGACTCGCCCGCTAGCAGTCAACCAATGGGGCTTTCGAGCCAAAAGGAGTACTACATTAGCACTGCTTAATGTAACAAATGAGTGGATGCAAAGTTTGGACTCTGGAATAGAGACCTGTACTGTATTCTTTGACTTTAGGAAAGCTTTTGACTCTGTCCCACACCGCAAGCTGATCCCCAAGCTGAAATCACTTCAACTCAACTCGGCTCTTATTAGATGGATATGCAACTATTTGTCTGGACGTTACCAGAGAGTGGTAGTTGGAGGGGAAATTTCCCAATCAACTCCAGTTATATCAGGGGTTCTGCAAGGTTCGGTCTTGGGTCCTCTACTGTTTCTTCGACAGCCTGTCACATCTTCAACTTTCCCATGGAACAAAGATGGTACTCTACGCTGATGATGTGTTGTTATACTTAGCTAGATACCTGTATTCTTTTAATTTGAAGAATTTTTTTATTTAGTCTATCAAAAATCTCTGTTGCAATAGTGGCTCCCAATCACGTTGATGGTCATCATCCCAGGCATGGACAGCAATACTGTTATTCCTGTTATGTCTAGTTTCACTGCCTAGCTACTTTTGCTCTGCAAATCTTATGTGAGGATCCGCCAGTTCACCAAGGTAAGACGTTCCACGGTCCCGGCAGGGTATTCTACATTACCTCTTTCTTCTTTAGTTCGTGAGTCTCCGACTTTTCAAATGTACAGTACTATACCAATGCAGGACGAGCTACTCTATATAGCTATAAGTCTCGGAGTGGTTCCCCTGGTTTGATCAACATACCATTGTTTTTAGATAGCTATAGCTAGCTAGCTATCCTTCAGCGTGTACGTGACGTCCTAGAGCAGGAATAGAAGAAGAAGAAGAAGAATTGAAGAAAAAACCAGGAAGGAGAACCAAAGGCAGTGAGGGAACCTCTGAGACCTTGAACGCATGCGCGTCGCTCACTCTCCTATACTTACTGCGCACGCGCACAGGCGCCCCCCGCCAGCAGAAGTAGAAAGTAATGTCTTCATCTGCCTTTTTGTACGGCACGCTGCAACGCTACTCACCACCTACATGGGCCGATCCCATCCGATTCAAGCCAACTTCATACGTCAAGGTAGAAAAAACCGGAGAATAAACCTGTGGTCTGTTTTGAGTGTTGTCGTTCTGCCGCTGTGTATAGTTGGCTCTCCGTCCAACTCCAATCCACCAGTGGCACCTTCCTGGAGTGCCCAGTGGCTATCAAGTATGGGTCAAGAGGGACGACATGACTGGCTCTGTCCTTGGCGGAAACAAAGTACATATGTAGCTAGCTAGGACATTGTCGTGACATATGCTCTGGATTTCAAGATTAGAAAGCTGGAGTTCTTGCTGGCTGATGCGCTGGAGAGAGGCTGTGACTCAGTCATCACTAGTGGGAGTCTCCAGTCAAACCACTGTCGGGCCACAGCTCTTGCTGCAAGACAACTGGGACTTCAGCCACACCTCCTACTGAGGTGGAAAGGAGACATGGTACGTATATACAGTGAAAACTCTGAATAAGGGTCACATTGGGAACGTCCACCAATGTATTAGTATGGGGCAGAACCAAGTGTTCCTTATGGAAAGGTGTCCTTTATTCAGAGGGTACTTTTTCGAAGGTTTTGCGCCTACAGCAAATCAGTCTGCAAGCTTAGACACAAATTGCAAGAATAATGCAAATACTAAGTCACAAGGCACAACCAACTCCAGCCCAAGGACCTAGGTGCAGTGGGCAGTGAAGGAAACCTACTGCTGGACAGAGCTGCAGGTGCCAGGATCATACTCACCCCACATGTCCGCTCGGAGAGAGACACTGGCCCAACACAACATGAGTATGCCACAGTTACCAAGACCCTTCATCAAATGGTGACGGAGTATGCCGAAAAATTGAGGTATATACATACCACTGCCTTCATAATGTTTTGTGTTATAAAAATAAACTGCTGAAATTTAAAAACATGTGTGCACTTGTCAAGTTGTTCTTTCTGCTTTGATAATTTTTTGTACTGCAAAAAAAAAAGAGTTGCCAACCGTTGCTTTTTCTTACAGATTTCTGTCTGAGAGTTCATTTTGTACTGCTGCCTATATAGATCCAGAGGTTCCAATCCCTACATCATTCCAGTCGGAGGGTCCAATCATATTGGGTCATGGGGCTACATTGAGGCATTCCGCGAGCTGATGGAAGAAGGGGCTCTGGATAGTTTCGATGACATTGTGGTGGCTACTGGGTCTGGGGGCACTGTATGCGGCTTAGCAATTGCTAACTATCTGACTGGCTTGAAAGTCAAGTAAGTTATAGGTGGAGTTTAGAGGTTAACAAAGTGTATAATACAACCGAAAGGCTTCATGCAGTGTGTGTGTGTGACACTGCCGACTACTTCTACGGCTTCGTCGATCGAGAGTTGGAGCAATCTGGACTGAAACCGACTCGGGATGGGGCGCCCCTGTCGTCACGAGATCTGATTGCCATAGTGGACAGCTACAAGGGTCTTGGTTATGGGGAGAACACTGAGGAAGAATTAGGTGAGCATAATTGATAGCATGTCCCACTCTCAAGGAGAGGATAAATTGTAAAATGACAGTCAGTTTTGTTGATAGCAGCCTTGTAGAGAGTGGCACGATTGACATAATAGCTCGATGTCTCTAAGACTGTAAAGTAACTGATATATAGTCACACTACAGACCCCATGCCGATCGAGTGTGACACTTTTGTGTATACTGTAACAACGATTGTGAAGTTGTGTAACATTTTTTGATCACACTAACTGTTGACCAAGCCAGTGAACAAACAGTGTATATATACTTGTTATTTTCTCCCTCTCTTTATATAATTATAGTGAATTTGATAGACATTGTCAACAAGACAGCAGTTCCTCTTGACCCAGTCTACACTCTAAAGGGAGTGAGAGGCTTGCTGGGAGAGCTCAAAAATAACCCTTCTTCTTTCTCTGGCTCCAGGATACTCTATATTCACACAGGTTAGGAGTTTTGGCCCAGGCCTATATATAGTGCTCATGTTGTGCTCTTTTCACATTTTCGGAGGGTGAAGGCCTGGAGCATTTTATCATATAAGGGAATGTGGGAAACAAGGAGGGCTAAATTAGAAATGTCACTAAAGATAGAACTAAACAGAGCAACAAAGGCCTGCCCTCATTACACTCAATCAGGTTGTTACTAGTCGTGGTAAGGAGAATTCTTCACTGGGCCCTATTGCCTCGTCATAACGTTTGGCCACATTCCCTTTTAATAGCCGTTTTCTTTTGGAGTCAGTATAAATAAAAGATAGCAGTTCCACAATAATATGGAAATACGTTTGTAGCGTATAATTATACCAACAAGTTGTTCTTATGCACACAGGTGGAGTGTTTGGTTTGTATGATGGAAAAGTGACTCCTCTGTTGAAGCAACTCCCTGCTACCAACCAAGTGTCTTTGTACTCTGAGACTACATAGCTAGGTGATTGACTATTGTTTGACATAGAGGGTCCCCGAATATTGTTAATGTGTCATGTTATACACATGTTTGTTTTTGGCCATGTTGACTGCTTGCTGCCTGTGCAATGAGAGAAACGTAACACCAAGGCAGAAATTAAGCTCTTTGGCCAAGACTATCATTATAAGAGTTGGTTGTACTGTCTCAGATTTGGTGTGTGTGTGTGGTCTTAATGCTTGCCTGGGCACGTGACTAACCTCTCTGCACGTGCACACATTATAAGGTGCAAATGCTGATGATTGTTTGTTTGTTAGGATGCACAATGAATCATGACCAGCACCAACACATTATCAGACCCTCCCCCGCAGAGCAGGGGAACTACACTAACCCCATGTTCAGGACATTGTGACCGGTTCTAGGAAAAGGTATATACCACTTGGCGCAAAAAATCGAAATTGCGTTAGCAGTACCACGCAAAAGCGCGTAGCATCAGCTATACTATAATATATGACACACGCAAACCCTGTCTTCATAGCACATTCTTATCGCATGTTAACAAGGGGAAGTGTCACAGCCCTTGCCTACCCATAGTTTAAGTGAAAAAAGATCACAGACAGTATAATTGCAAGCAAGACACAGCGAGGACCGCCTATAAAGATATCTAGGCCATCAAGCGAATCAACTCATTGACTGTTTACATTATTTTTCGCAATACAAAATAAAAGGCAGCATAGTAGTGCATTAGGCATGTCATGATCCCTAACTAACAGTTCTTCCAGCGTGATGGGAGGTTTTTATCTTGGAGGAGGACCTGGAGCAAGTGGTATAAAAAAAATAAACAGACAAACAGGATGAGATCTTCAATCATAATAAAATGAAAAAGCACTGAAGTGCAAACCCTCGACGAACTGCGCTTGCGCGATACCGCTAATTGATGGGCTGGGCCGTAGTATGCGTTTACTCGTGGTCTCCCGCTAGTAGCACACGGAGAGTCTGACACGGGCTAGCTACAGTAGTAGATAGCATGCAGGAGTCGATACACGCCCTTCGTTGTGACATCTTGTGCCTCCAAGGTACGCAGATCAAGCACATCTTGTCGAGGTAAGCCCGTGCTAATTTGCATATTGGCTTGTTCACTTGCTTTTCACGCCATAACTTTTGAACGCAGTGTTTTTACGAAAATCGCCAGTTTTAAAATCAAGCAAATGTAGTGCCGATCCCATTGGTGTAGAGTTTTGGCGATCTTGTTGCGTCTAGTGGCAGAAAACGTGAACGGACACTCAGACCAAGTACCGTAACCCTCGCTGCGCATGCGCGCCGAGGGTTAAAAATTTATCAAGCACACGCACAATTATGTAAAATAGAAGAGCACAATTGCAGATAGCAAATATTTATGCTCTTCCTTTTTGTTCAGTACTTAAAAAAGTGCACCCAAAAATACTTTCAACCATGAACATTAACGAGCAGTGAGGTCAAACTGACATCATTCAACAGGCAGGGTATATACTTCCTTTCAAGAATGGAATGCATTTGAGTAAACCGTTGAGGAACATACATACCTCTCATTCCATGGGGCATTCCGGGAGGTCCCCTCATGCCATGAGGGGGCATGCCGGGCGGGGGCCCTCCCCGACCCATCATTGGAGGTGGCATCCCCGGTGGTGGCATCCCTGGTGGAGGCAGGTTGAATGGTGCATGACCTCGAACTGTGTGTGTGTGTGTGTGTTTGCATGGGGGAAGAGAAGAAAGAAAGGTGCTAGCGATTGAGTGGCTTTTGCCCGTGGTCACATGTATTGGCTTTTTGACTCATCCATACCCATCAACTAGAGAACCCTGCCTGCTCTATCTTGTTTGTCTGTCATTAACCTAATGCACCAGTCATCATGGGAGCTCCTCAGCAGATCATCGTGTAAGTCACAGGTTTCGGTCCCTTGTAATCTCCCGACCTGTGCCTCACTACCACTGAGGCGGGACCACTCCCTCGCAGAGTATGTACATGTACAGGCACTACTGTCAGTTATTGTCTTCCTAAGCCTTCAGTTTGTCGTGCTGTAGGTCAGTTTGTCTGTTTTTCTAAGTCCTATTTTAGGTTGGTAGTATATAGTAAAAACACCATGTGCAAGGCAGGTGTGTGTATCTTGTCTAATCTTGTCACAACAAGGCAGTAAGGATGTAGGTAAACATGCACACTACCTTCTTTTACTGTGATATCAGGGATGGCAAAAGGGATTTTTTACTCTGAATGTGTGTGTGTGTGTGCACACGTGTGTGGTTGAGCACTTGCAAGCAAAATGAGTAGTTGAAGATGGCATAAAATTGGTTGGTTAATTGTGATAGTTTACGAAACAATGTGTAACTTCAAGCTGGAATGAACTCGACACTAGATTCTGGCTGTGGATATAATTGGCGAGCGGGAGTGAGCCAACCTAGTCATTCGTTCGAGCGGAATTTTCTATATAATATATAATATTAATTTATATACGACTGGCCATACGCCGTGTAAGTGTGCATGCGCGGTTTTGTACACGCTTCTTTTTATCCGAAATTATTTCCAAATTTTTTACACATTTTCACACATGGTGCCTCGCGATATGCGCCGATCGATCTAGCCAGTTAGAGAACTCTCCTCCATTCGACGGCATGCGCTGCAACTTTCGGTGACTGACCGAGGCTGTACCTCTTACCAATCTTCATGGTTCCAAGGTGCAACTTGCAAATACGCTAGGATTGCTCGTGCACATACTGCTGCATGCCAGCTGCCTGGTGGACCACGACTGACGAGTTGAAAGCGTAAGGTAAGTACCCTTCTGTTCACCTGCTCACCGTTCTGCCAATGTACAATACGCATGTAACGGCGACAAGTCGATCTGTCTTGCTTCACGAAAGGAAAGCTGTGCGCTGACGGCACGTTATGCAGCCCGAACATCGCGGGCAAATCCCAAGTTGGGTCGCTCCCGCTTGCCAACAATGTTCAACATTTCCACTAGTATACTAGTTAGAGTCAGTGTGTAGGGGTCAAGCCCACGCATAGTAGTTAGAGACAAAACCCCACATGTGTGAGACAGACCTGGACCCCCAGGTCCTCCTTGTGGAGCCATTGCCTGCATCGAAGGTCCTCCGACTCCTCTCACTGGACCAGTCAACCCTGCAGAGGTGGACAACATGGATCAGTGCAATCTCCCAGTGGAAAGGCAACTCTGTTAGCATGAAACAACTTTGGTGGACTATCTACAGGTTTTGGCATAACTCAGACAAGACATAACTCTCCCTTAACCAGCCGTGGAACATAATGTGTCCAGAGCCTCCATAAGTCCATAAGAATTTATATGGGGGTTATACTACTAGGCGCTAATACTTTACACATCAATTTCTGCTTGTTTAAGCAGATACCCATGGCGTCCAAAGGGTTTTAAGTTACGACTCAGATTAATGTATTGTCTAAGTGATCTGTGAGGTGTTCTCACCAGCAGGTGCCCCAGCATGATGCATCGGAACTCCACGGCCGGCTGCCCTCCCAACACCAGGTCCAGGTCTGGCTCCGTGGCCTCCCTTGCCACCCTTCCTACGATCCTGTTGGCCAGCAGAGCGGGGCGAGATACATAGACAGGGAGAAACACATACATCAAAACTATAGGCTCGGAACCAAAACTATAGTTCCACAGAGTACATACAGAACGAATCCTTGGGGCCACCCACGTCCAGCATTGCTTGCCGCCAACCTTAGAACAACACTAGACTCGATTCTACTAGTGACTATTTCTATACCACGCTGAGATGTTAAGACTGGGTGAGGTGTTACACACAGATCGGTACCAAGTTACCTATTAGCTTCTTAACTACTCATTATACCGAACCTTTACGAAAACATCGCATGTTTTGTACCAGCCTCTACATCACCACAACTTATGGCAAACATACCTTGAGGGGAGGAAAAAGCACCCCACTAGAGAGAGAAGACATACATACAAGCCACGTGGGTGCTCTAATATACGCAGTAAAGGCAGTGGGCTTCCAGCCTCTCTCATGAAACTATAGTTGTCTCTGCAAAATTGTGCATGCAAGGACATGTATTGCAAGACCAGAAAGTTTCTTAATGAAATAAAAAGTACTAAAGTGCAAACCCTCGGTGCAATATGCATGCGTGGCACCGCTAATTGTTGGGTTGCGTTGACTCGTAGCCTTCCACGAAAAGCTCGCGGAGAGTCTGACACATTCTTTCCTCTGCAAAGTATGTGAACATGTTTGAGTCACTCTCAAGCTGGTCATGCGCTTCCTACTTTTTTTGCCTACGTAAAGTTTTGTCCCAGACGCTCTTTCAGTGGCCTTACGCGTCTTATCTTTAGCTATACTCTCAGCTTTTCTCTTGTATGGAAAGATATGGTCACAACGTTCACACACTTTTTGCCTACATGTACAGCAGTTTTACACTGCTGACATACCTTTGTTGGAGGCATGCTTACTCAAAAGTCCCCAATCTCACACCAGTCCTATGACAAAATGGCTGCCAAATCTCACACCAGTCCTAAATGGCTGCCAATTACCCAGGTGGTCAGCTCTCTGTGCCGACACGCTCCGCAAATAGACACGCCCTTCGTCACTTTATGCACACGCCTCTGTTTTTTTGCGCATGCTATTCCACGTAGAAAATGTCTGTACAATCGCAACCCATAAAAGCTCTATACAGTTCTGCAACCAAGTATTAATAAATAAAAAATACCACATATGTATTACGATCTTTACGCGACGAAGAATATGTTTGTTTGTAGTACGAAAAATGACTCGAGAAGTGAGTTATGGAACAACACACACATACACAAGTACCGCAACCATCACAGCATGCGCACCGAGGGTCAATTATCGTATACTGCAGAAACACAAAGTGAGGTATGTATATACCACTCACAGAATTAGGAGGAGGTCCCTCCACAGTGAGGGAGACCAGATTCATCCCTCTGAGGAGCACCAGTCCCAGGCTCCTCTTCTCCTCTCTCTCCGGCCCCTTGTTCTTTGGCTTGATCTTTCTGAACTCCTCACAGTCGGCCAGTACAAGGTTCATGTGCCGGTCAAAAGCCAAGAAGGTACCGATGAACATGCGGCCATCCAGAAGGGTGATCCGCATGCGGTACTGCATGTACTGACTCATCTTCCCTTTACCAGACTGCAGGGAGGCAAATAAATGCATCACTGCAACGAGGTATCAGACCAACAAACAGTTTCCCAGAAAAAATGTGTTGGCTGAGTTATGCCTAACAGGTGACCCTCTAACATGCACATAGTTTTACGACACGTAGGAGCTTACCACCATCTTCTTGCCGTGTTTGTCACACCACTGCAACCGCGTATAATAGTGCTCCAACAGACACACGGGCTGCGCTCTAAATGGAAATAAAAACGTCACTTTCGCGTACACACGAAACGCCTTTCGCGCTCAGGGGTCCCACCACACACTTAACCGCTCAGAAGTACGCTGCCGCTATCCTCACCAGAAGAGCTTTAATCGAAAACAGACACTTCAGTGACCGACGCACGAACTCAACTCACACGGGCGCGAAGTTTTCTGCATCCACGTGTGACACCGCCCCTTTTAATTTCCGCTTCACTGACAGATTACGGATCAAATAGCCACGATACATACAACACAGTCTAATACACACATCGCCTTATACATTGAAGTAAATGCACAGAACTACATGTTCTCATAAGTAGTAGATCAGCTAGAGAGAGATGCCACACCTGCAGTGAGAGGAGACAGACTCAATAATACACGAGGATCCTTACATTCCACATTTACGGAAGGAAAACTTTATGTTTCAAATGTCAAGGGCCACCAACCACTAGGTACGGTTTGACAAAAATCATCCGTTTTGTTTTCTCCCTCCAGGTTACACATAATGTTCAAATGAACACCCTCACGAGCAGACGCCGGTCTCATTTAGTCTCCAGACGCTGGCCTACAACTATTGACAGATCTACAAAGATTGCTAGGTTCTGTGTGTGTGTGTGCACGTCACGCTAGTCTCATTTACATACATGGTGCACGCACTCCGGTTAAGGAATAAACAGCCTAAGCGTTGATGCGAGCATGAACGGGGGATGTGATGGGTATACGTGGTACACATCAGGCTAGCCAGAATAATGGGACAGAAGTGAGGTGGTGTAAAGAAGAAAGGAAAGGGTCTATAGCCCACACAATAGGCCTTGCAATGAAAATACACCATGTACTATATACACACAACACCTCCATGTATAATATCTACGACTGAGGCAACCAGGTGTAGTGTATTCTGCTTTCAGGACAGGCTTCATACATTACAACACATACAGAGGGATGTGTGTTTAACTGCAGACTTCCTAAGACACACAGACACTAGCACACCTATGCCAGCCCGAGTTCCTCTGGAGTCCGGATGCCCAGCTCATCCAGAGTGGGTTTGATCTCACTCAGGACGTAGCTGTAGATCTCCTTGTCCCCAGCTGCCTTGCTCTTGATGGCCTCCAGGATGCGGATGGCCAACGCTATGTCGTTTAGCCTCCTGGCAGCCTGGAGCATAGCCACGACGATCTTGGGTTCCGGGACGAGGTCATGGCCGTAGAGTTCGTTGACCCCCTTCTTGAGATCCCAGGCATCCAGCTCAGGTTGCTGGAAGTAGGCCAGCCATCGGGCATCAAAGTCTTCGTCACTCTCCACGGGCTTCCCGTGACCGTACCGCCGCCACACCGCCCCGTTCACTGCTGCTGTGCGGGAGATGGAGGGGTGCTTTAATTAGAAATTGGCGCGGACGGGTGGCTGTGTGGGGTGTAAGATTGTCTAAACGTAAAGGAGAGCCGATTACAGAGGCTGGTACAATTTGAAGTCGAAAAACAGAAGTAGTAACACATGAGTGGACACACATATTGTACCTGCCGGAGCTAGCGCTCGCTGACTGGACCTGACAGCGGCTGGTAGGGCTTTCCAGCTGAACCGAGTTAGGGCCACACGCAGGGCACTCATGGTCGGCAAAATGGCACAGCTTCAGGATATACAACACACGACACAGACAACGAACGGGATGCCGACCTTTGGCCCTTTGATCGACCTCACTTTTAGGGGCGTGGCCGGGGGTCGGGGGTATCTAGTGTACGCATGCGCAAACGTGGCCAGTCTTGCGTCGTGTCACCAATCAGCAGATGCTCAAAGATCGCAGAATGGTGTCGTTTTGCTGCTGTATTCGTTTTGCCTATCTTCTGGCAGTAATCCAGCTAGCATCAGCAACAGGGTAAGCTCTTATTTGCTTTATAATAGTGTTCTTTAGCGTATATCTGATTATCATGGCCTCTTCGCGTCTGGCCATGAACAGCGTATGCTACCGCGATGTTTCCTCCACTGAGACCTACCAGGTTTACGTGTCCATGAGCAGTGGCTACACAACTAGATGTGGCTTATTCTGGCGATGTGATAGGTAAGAAAATTCATAGCTCACTCTGTACGTTTCAGCTAGATAACCTATCGTTCGTAGGACCAGGTACAGAGCAGCGGTCCAACTACGAACTCGCATTGTCCATCGTATTGTGCCAGTATGCTGCAATGGATACCAAGGAAATGGAGTCGATTGCACTCGTTAGTAGTATGTGACTGTATCATTGCTATAAGATTTTTCTTCTTCTATATACGTAGCTATATGCACAGGGGATTGTTCTAACCGAGGTACATGTGTGGCACCAGAAGTGTGTGATTGCCAAGATGGGTGGACTGGAAACCAATGTTCAGAAGGTCAGGTTCACTGTGGATACTATTATAGCAAAAAGTCTCTTTTTTTGATGATGCTGCAGATTTTGATGAGTGTGCCGCTGGAGTGTGTACCAACTGCACAAACAGTGTTGGTTCGTTCCAGTGCACCTGTCCTGATGGCATCACTCTCTCCCCGGGCCAGACTTGTGTTGGTGAGTGGTGGCTCTTTCCATACTTGGCATGATTGTTGACTACAAATCTGCCTCATCTGTGGGTGAATAGCTACATGTGACATAAATTCCTGTGATTTGACTTCATCACTCTAGCCATTTCGTCACTTTTTATTATGTATCTTTGCACTTTCACAGATCCACCTGGAATGATTTCTACAAGTCATATCACTTCTAGGTCTATACTTATCAGCTGGGAGGCCCCCACGATTACTCAACAAGATGAACACTTACAAAACTATGCTCTCTCTTGTTCAGCTAGTGGAACCTCACATACAGAAGCCCCTATGACTATCGAGTCTTCAGAAACCTCAGTCACTGTACCTAACCTTGCTCCAAACACCATCTACACATGTTGTATAAGGGCCATAACAACAGCTGGACAGTCCCCCAATGTTTGCACAAGGAACTCTACTCTGGAAGATGGTATACTAATTATACATCTTAATGTCTGACAAAGTGAGCATATTAATCAATATCCACATTGTTTAGTGCCATCTACACCTCCTGAGAATGTGACAGTTGTAGCAGTGAGTCCCTTTGCAGTGGAAGTGGAGTGGAACCCGCCAGCCACACCAAATGGGGTCATCATTCACTACAATGTTTATACTTCCAACCTAGTACTAGTTGACACAGTCAACAGCTCACAAAGAAACTATGTCTACAGTGGACTAACACCATATCAGAATGTTAGTGTGTGTGTTTCTGCCAGTACAAGTGTAGGAGAAGGCCCAAAGTCACAACCAGTATCTACCAGAACAAGAGAATCAGGTTTGTCTGTGACATCTAACCGAAGACCCCAATACTCTCTTTCATACAGCTCCCAGTGAAGTTGAGAGTTTTGAGGTGGTGGCAGTGTCTGAAACCTCGTTCAATGTCTCTTGGAATCCCCCTCGCTTGCCCAATGGAGTTCTGACTGGTACCAGCTGACAGTCATTGACTTGGTATTTGGAAGCGGTTCACCCACCACAACCGTTTCACCCAACACACTTGAAGTTGCCGTAAACAGTGGTGTTGGTAGGTCTTTATTGTGTTAGCTTGTAGGGTCTTAGCTACTTGTTGTGCTGGTGATACTAAATCCTCCTCAGAGCCCTATGTTCCGTATGAGATATCAGTGCGAGCTGCAAACAGTGCCGGTGTGGGAGAAGCCAGAGAGATTGTCATATTTACCAAAGAAGGAGGTATGTTGTTTCTAAAGTTATGCTATATCGAAGGTAAAACATGCTTTATTTACATTCAGTTCCTCTGGTTGCACCAACCATACTCGCTCTTCAAAGAACTAACTCAACCTCTGCACTGATAGAGTGGAAACCGCTGAGACCTCAAGATTTGAGGGGAAATCTGACCTCTTATCTCTTGGTGTATTCCAAACAGAGCGACTCCTGTCCCACTGTCCCTGAGGGCTATGAAAACAGCACATCAGTTGAAGCTCTTTCTCCAGCCTATTCCCTCACAGACGTGTTGGATCCTAGACACAAGTACTGTGTTGGTATAGCTGCTGTGACTGGTGCTGGGGCTGGAGTCTTTAGCTACAAGTCTGTGTCCTGTAAGTAGCTCCAGTGTATCAGCATTAACTAATATAGTATAGTGCATGGTGTAACTGTATTTTGGTTCTCTCAGGGTTTGACTCTGCCAGTTTTTCATTGGTTATTGAGGTGACTCTCTGCTCCCAGTGGATTGTGAGTCTCTGTGTTCTGAGTTCATATACTGATACAGTTGAATTGATAGGAGGAGCTGCCTGTAGACAAAGCAAGAGACCTAACTGTTGAAATAAGTCGTGGAATATCCCAGTATTGTCAGTGTGTGTTCACGAGCGACTACCTCACTGATACCATGTTCATATGCGACGATAGCAGAAGAGATGTGGTGAGATTTGAGGGCCAAATAATTGGAACGAATGAGCAGGACAGTGGCAGTCTGAAGGAGAACATGCAGCAATGGGTCTCCAGTGAACCAACTGTGACAGTACAAGAGGAGCAGGTACAAGTAGTAAATCCTACTGATGAAGAAGAAACTGAGGACTCAAATGTACCATCAGTCGCTATTGGAGTCAGTATTGCAGGAGTAATTCTTCTTGTAGCACTGGTGGTCTTTGCAGCTGTTTGTGCCACATACATTAGATGCAAGCGAAATGGGTGAGTGTATTATAGCAGTGTCTGCCCATAATGTACTTATGTTTCCCTCAGTTCAAAGCAAGGGGCAGAAAGAGACCAACTGGAAATATCGACCAGTACTAGCATTGACAGTCCACTGTTACAGATCTGAAGAACCCATACTATGGTTATGGAGTCCATGCACAAGAGAGGGACCTAACTGACTCTGGATACTCTATCGTACAAAAGAAACAAATGGCGGTGAAAGAAGTTGAAAACCCCACGTATGGACTGAACGAGGTCAAGAAAGGGAAGGACCCGATCTCAAATCCACTGTATGGAGCCAACACACTGCCAGGAGTGCAGTTGCCATCGTCCAGTGGCAGTGGGCTGTACAGCGAGATTCCTACCAGCAGGGAGGAGTGCTTTTATGAAGAAACGAAACACTTGTAGTCCTTTCTATGTAGTTTTGTGTGTGTGTAGCTAATCCTTGAAAATTGTGTAGCTATCATGAAGTCATTGCTGTGTGCTGTAGAAATCAACACATGACTGCCATCTTTTATTATACCTCACATTGATTGTAGCGTGAATGTCATTTAAATGTTGATTCATAGGTGTGGCTAGGTCCTATATACAGTAGTGCTGATAAACAATCCACAGTCAACTAAAAGTATGAACCTTGAGAAGTTCATTGTACTTATTCACACAATGTGCATGCATGCAACAAAATTTCTAACTACTAATGTTAGTAGACACAATCAGACATCTCTGGGGGTGGGTTGAAAACGGTGTCGCTAGGAGTGTTGCGATGATCCCACACTGATGAAGGATTGGTACAGTGAATGTGAGAGTTTGCCAAAAGTGGGGTTTTGTCCGAGACTTCCTTGCAACACTTGCTTCTCGGGATGTATAGCATTGCCATTACTGTCACAAAAAACACAAACTCCAGCAGATAGTCAATTGTAAAGCCACGGACAAATATTATATAGTCTTCTTCTATCCAGTATAAAAATATCTCTAAAGTAAGATCTGCAACTAACAACATAAGCACAACTGAAAATTTAAACACTGGCCATTTCAGCTTATTTGTGATTTTTGCTCTTCTGAAAAGTTTTAAATACACGTACAGAAGAAAAATGGCAGCACACAATATGAATAATACAACAAATGATATAATTAAAATTGCAACAAAAATCCCACTAATGAAAAATCGTTTTGTATTGCAACCAGTGCCCGAACAAAAATGTTTAACAAAACCCAATTCCACAACAGCAAACACAAAAGATGACAAAGATAAAAATACATGAATAAAAACTTCTGACACTACTGATAAGAGTGATTTGAGTTTGTGAGTACAGTTTGTTCCATTAAAAACTGGTGATCCTATCTGTGTCAACAACATTCCTAATATAGCTACCATGTACAAGAGAATGATCAGCTTTGTGTACAAATCGATAAAATACATTACCTCACAGTAACCAAAGGGAAGAATCCTATTATAAAACATTACTGCGCCTAAATTAATTGAAGAGAGGGTTAGATAAACCGAAAACGCAATGGTTGCTCGCTTTATTCCAGTATTCCAGGCATTCGTCTTTTTTATCGCCAGTAAACATACCAAAAGAGATAAGCTGAGAGTGGCAGTAGCAATATCAGATACTCCTGTGGCCAGCGAGAGAGCATCACATTGCTCTTTAGTCAGGTTGTGACATCGGTAACCTGTGTTGTTACACATAGCTAGCTATAGCCACAATAACAACTGTCCGGGTGTCGTTACACGTCCCGTGCCACACCTACTCGCGCGCTGCGTGTAGCCATAGATAATCGCTCCGCGTTTTGCCACGATAATCACCTCTGAGGCTGCGGTTTTGTACTGAGCGGTACGTGTAAAGACTTTCGAGACGTTTGTGGGACTCTATCCTCGGAGCAGCGGGAGCTAAGAGAAAGGCGAGTCCACCCTTATAAAGCTGTTCCTCTGCTGTACTAGGACTGGGTAGGGTCAAATGCTTCTGCAACGCGGTGAGTTCCGTGTGCAGCGTTTTGCCCCGAGAGGTGTCGTTTGCATGGTAGACTGTTGTGGGACTACATCTTAGTTCAGCCTTAGCTGTGCGCCTCTAATTGGTATGGAATACGTAGTAGAGTCATAGGTCTACTAGAGTAGCTATACCAATACAACTCAAGTTCTGCTTGTGTTGAAGGGTGAGTAGTCAAATCCAGTACATTTCAGTCCTACAGTGTGTGGAAAATTGTGTTGCTAGTGCTCTGGAACCATCCTAACAGCTCTATACCACTTATATTCATAGGAATGGGGAAGAGAAAGTTACGTTTTTACCAAACGAAGAATCACGAAAGAAAGAAGTCTGGCCTGAAAGTCAAAATACAACTAGCCCCTCCTTCCTCCCCCAGACCTTGTTATTCGCCTCCCTATAACCGCCTTTTTATCTTCAGAAGTGAGAAACCCAGGCGCTCTATTGACACGGTTAAGTGCTGTTGGGGACTTACGACAGGTTGGGTCACTGTCCCAGAGCTTCCCACCCCTCACCAAATACCTGAGGGTGTTAATTACGTAAGTATCCAATCCTGTTCCGCCTATATTATCTATGGTGTAGCCTGACCACTCTGCAGGCTCGGAAATTGCCTACCACCAATGATCAGAGCAGCGATAAACAGTAGAACTGTTCGGACAATGGGGGTAAACTCCGGACATGGGGGTGTTTGCACCGACCTCGAAATTATTCGCTGCGAGAAAACGCTAGGAAGATTTGTTAGTGCTTTGGTAGGTAGTAATCAAGTGAAATATATACGAATCTTTCTCTCGTTTCTGAATAGCGAGTGATGTCCGTGTATTATCCCGTGTCCGAAGTTACCCCCATTTACATTAATGGCAGAGCCCTTTCTTCCAGGAATTATCGTCCGAGTGGATCGTCCCGGAAATTAGCATTGGCAGTCGTCCCGCAACTGAGATAGTGAGTAAAGTGCAAACCCTCGGCGAACTGCTCATGAGTATGCGCTTACTCGTGGTCTCCCGCTAGTAGCTCGCAGAGGAGTCTGACACGGCTAGCTACAGTAGTAGATAGCATGCGAGAGTCGATACACGCCCTCGTTGTGACTTTTTGTGCCTTCAAGATACACAGAGCAAGCGGACCCGGTTGAGGTAGCCTGTGCTAAAATATAAGCACATGCGGCATATTCCGCAGCGAGGCGACTACCGGAATTAGCCGTACAATGCTGGAAGCGCTCTAGCTTTGCAACGGATCATTTAAAAAAAATTATGACCTTCATTGCCCGTTAAGTAGGTAGTATCGTTTGTGAGACGAAAAAACTTTGTAGAAGTGAGATGTTGAGCACAGACGACAGACCCAACTACCGTAACCCTCGCTGCGCATGCACGCCGACATACGTGACACATTAGATTGATGCTTCTCCGTATTATACAGTGGGAAAAATCATTTCTTCAGGCTCAAACAGTTAACCCTTAGCAAGCCACGGGTTCTAGCCATCCCTATATAGCTAGAGCGTCTGTAGCTATACAGACGCTCTAATTATAGCTCCGAGCTATAGGTTTTTCACCTTCATATCCCAGCTCATCACTGCCATGTTTGCAATCGCACTATATAATCTGCTCTGTACTACATTATGGTTCGATTTCCCTCAACTGGCCACATGTTGTCACTTTATAGCTAGAGACGTCATCGTGACACATGCCAGAAGATAGCTACTTCTTTCTTCTTCACTCCTGGGGCATGGTTGGTGTTGATAATGATGATAGAGAGTGCTGGTGTAGCTAACAGCTCCCTAGCT